TCAGAGTCTCTTTACAGAGTGAATTAGAAATTCAATGCCAGCACAACAGATGAGTGTATTCTCTGTCTGACTGCTCTTTTGTTGCTTTCAGGTGTTTTTGGCGACACTCATGAACCTGCAGATGAGGAGCTGCCTGGCTGATGTCGACTCCTGGAGGCTGTTTGCGAACCTCACTGAGCTTTGCCTGGTGAGACATGATGCAAATGAACAGCATGTGGCCTGTTATTTTTAGGTGTGTTATGCAAACAATTACAAACAAAAACACCCTTCATAGCATTATAATACCTCTTGTTTGTTGTGCAGCATCAAAAGGTGGAATACAGCACCTTGAAAAAAGAAGCTCTAAATAAAAAGATGTATTATTTATTTATGAAAGCTTTATCTAATCAGGAAAGCCTCTTGTTCAAGAGGCACTGAGTGAGAGACAAACAACATAAGACAGAGAACACAAGAGACAGTATGTGATACAATCAGAATCAAACAGAAAAATCATGAATGACATTTTGTACAACATCCTAAATAAAACGGGACAACCTAACAGCTGTCTTAAACAACGTCTTCATGCGTGACATGCATAGTGTTCTTATTGTTGGCAGATGGAACCGGGGCAGATGATTCGTTAATTCATTCACCATGTCAGTTACAGTATGTCTCAGACACTTAATAGAGTGTTTTAATGGGGAATCAACTCACTTTTGTTTGTTTCCTTTAATTGACAAAACTGAAGTGCGTTGCACCTTGTGCCACAGCATTCTCCCGGTTACACTGCAGTTACTGGTGAAGACCTGTGTGTTTCTTTGTGTCAGAGCTGCATTGTTTTATCTGTAAGGAACAGAAGGCGTGGTACTTGAACATGACCGAGGTACGACGGCTGTGTGGTGATACATGACACTGAGTGTTTTTCCGCTGCAGGTGAGCTTTGGTTTCCTGAACAACCTCCTCTGCGTCATCAAGGACACGTTGGAGATTACGGAGGGTGGCGGGCCCACCCTGCTGGAGCTGCTGAGCAAAGCAAGTGTCACTCACAAACACGCTGACTCTGCCTGCAGTCACTGCTCAGTCATTCGCTCAGTTGTAAAACTCCACTGATAAGACGATGAAGACAAACTTATCTAAATGTATGCTGGATATGTGTGCACTATATTCAGGAGTGCAAGAATGTGACGCACCACAAGATGTTTTATTTAACAAATGCATATAACATATTAATATATTTCAGAATACAATATCAATAATAGGAAATCACATTTGTGGCTTGCCTGGTTCAGTTTCCTTTAAAGAGCTCACACTTCTTCTGACACACAGAGAAAAGAAAAAGATCTACGCAACAATCCAGATCAGCAATCCTAGTTTCATATTTTGTTCTTTGTTAATGAATCATTTTGCTCCAAAGATCAAGGAAACAAATAGAAACCTCTTCATCTCACTGTTAAATAATGCATCACGAGAAGCAGCAGGAGAATATATTTCACACACAAGGTCATTTTTGTAAATCTTGTACTTCTTTTTATGATGTTTATCTGCAGCTTGTTGGCTGATGTGACCAGACAGTCTGCATCCTGGTGTTTTTATAACCCTCCTATCTGTTTGGCAGGCTTTCCAGGAGAGCTTATGTCACTGCCTGCAGAAGTACTGCCTCAACTACTCCACAGCTCTGCTTTATCTGGACAGCCTGAAGCCCAGAGAGGACTTTGGATCTTACGTGAAGGTACCGGGGGCGGCCAAATTGTGTGTGCGTGTCAGAGCGGTGGCGAGGACACCGTGTACTGTTAACAAGGCGGCAGGCAGAGCTGTAAAAACATGTCAGAGAGGATACACACAGCAACATCACAACCAGTTCAGTGTCACCAAGGCCTGCAAAAGAGGGGAATGTGACCATTTGTCCATTGTGTAACCTCCCCCGTCATCACACTCATGTATTTCTTAGGCTTGTATTTTGATCTTAAATATCTCTCTTTTTCACTGCCCCCCTCTATTAACAAACACCGTGACCACTCTTCAACCCCTCTGACCTTCTTCTTTTTCCCACCGACAGCCCTCCTCTCACCCTGTCCTCTCTCTCTCTCTCTCCCCCCCCCTAGTGGTGTGAGAGGAACGAACAGTGCCGGAGGCTGCAACTGCGTGACCTGTTGGTGGCGCCGTTACAGAGGCTCACCCGATACCCTCTGCTGTTGCGGAACATCGAGAAGAGATGCCAGAGGGAGGACGAGGCCGGAGGCCTGCAGGCTATAACGGAGCAAGTGGACACATCGATATGTGAGAACCCTGAACTGCTTGTTTTTTAAAAAAAAAAATGCATCACTACAAACTCTTATTTACATAAGACAGTGATGTTTTTGTACCACCTGAGCATTTCAGCACTGCCTTATCAGCAGATTCTCACTGACTGTGTAAGCACAGTGTAGGGTTCTAAGCTCTTTTCACCTGCTGAACTTTCCTCTGAGCTTCAAGTGTCACACGTCTCATTTATGTCATTCAGCTGCTCACGACTTGTGTGTTTCATCATTCGGGTGTTTTGACGAGCAAAGCAAGGGACAAGCAGCTTGTTAAGCAGATCGTAGTTTCTTCGTGTCAGGCGAGCTTGCTTGTGAGCAAACAGGCTCCATGTTTTGGACAACAGCCAGGAGCCCTGACCGTTTATTCTTCAAAGCATGCCTCTGTCTGCGGACCTGTTGTGGCGGTTTACTCTGCAACTAGATGGACAGGCTGTGGGAAATGTGCTGCAGCACTGCACCTCAATTTGCATTTTTATTGGATTGAACAAATATCCGAACAGAAAACGAACGGTGTTGGCTCACAAATACTTAAATGCATACTTCCATATAACCATTACAAAAGCACGACAGAGCAGCACAGGTTGACACGGAGCATCGTAGCCACGGCTCAGATGTGTAGGGCAATGTCCTCTGGGTGTGTGTTTACTGTAAAGTGGTGTAATCTCTCACGACATGGTTACGCCCATATTCAGCAGGCAACCATCACTACACAGGAAAACACAAGATAATAGAGTAGCGCTTAAGAACAGTTTATCTGTCATTTGAAACAGAATCTGTTATTAATGTGACTTAAATACACGACTATTTTTAGAAATACTACTGAAGTTCAGGGGTCAGAGTTGTTTTTCTTCTATTTCTGTCCGTCTTGATTGAAAGGCTGCCTCTCTGCTTCCAGGTGATTTAGAGGGAAAGGTGAAATGGCTGGATAACTACCAGAAGGTGAAACAGCTGAGAGATGCCGTGGTGTGGCTGCCTGTATGGGAGAGAGACAAGCGTGCCGTCGTCCCTGAGGTCTGTCTGGTTATCTGTGCGTTTGTGTGTGTGTATACATTTATATCTGTACGTGTGTGCGTGTCTGTGAGAGCTTTTGTTGGCAGACCACCAACACTTCATCTTCCAATAGCTTTTGTGTGCAGATAGGATGGTCCAATCATTTATCTTGATGTCAGATATCATGAAAAGCAAACTGTTCACATTTTACACTGCAGTGTGTCATCATTAGCTATGTTAGCAGCTCAGCTCTTTCAGTATCGGTCCACGTGGCAAAAGGCCAAAATGTTTTCCTCTTACCCGACTGACGGCTTCCCTTTCAGAATCTGAAACATCTCTTAAAGGCCGTCACTCTGGAGAATCTCATTTCTCACAGAAGTCTGCTGCATGAAGGGAAGGTGGTGCTCACAGGTGTGCACAGCTGGAAGAGCTCCAACACATTTCACATGCTCAGTGCTCCGATTTGAGTAAAATCTCACCCCATCTTTCTTTGGTTCATCACCAGAGAACACAAAGCTGATCGATGTTTACCTGTTCCTGTTTGACGAATTCCTGCTGATCACAAAGATAAAGAGAAACAAGAAGGTATGTCTCTCTGTCATGCTCTCAGTGGGACTTGGACCACGACAGACATTCCGTGTAAGGCTGTCCAGGAGCTTCATAACTTCTTCACACTGTGTCCTCGTCTTCCTGTGCAGCGTCCTATTGGTCCAGAACAAAATCCTCTCAGGATGCCACAGAACCAGGAGCTGGATCAGCTCCTGAAGGACGGATACACCTTCACGGTTGTGGACCAACCCGTCTCTCTGGACCGACTCCAGCTCAAGAACATCGATCAGCTCAATGCTTCAGGTACTACAGCGTTCATTCTTGTTGATTTCATTGGGTTTCGAGCACACAGCAGAATTGAACGTCATGATGGGTCTTGAAAAACGTCATTCTGTTGATGTTCACAGATCAGTGTGTAAGTTGATGTGAGAATTTCAATTGTGTGCTTCCTTTGTAGCGTCAGGGTTGCCTCATTCCTTCATAATCATGCACCAGAACCGCTACCAGCAGTGTATCGGTGCATTCATCCTGCAAGCTGCGACAGAGTCTGCCAAGGTACATCACTTCAATTGTGACAAGACGACTAACTGCTGGATAATGAACTTGACATTTCTCTTTGTGAACACCTTCTCGTGTGTCTTTCTGCAGAGAGCGTGGATGACGAAGATAGAGGGCGCTGTCACGGCGCTGCTGAAGCTGGACTCCCAGCAGCCTCGAGTCACGAGCTCCTCCCTGTGGCTGGAGTCTTCACAGATATGACGAGAAACAGCACTAGATCTGAAATGTCTCTACTGTATACGTGCACTTCACTGTCTCCTGACCGTCTTGTAAATAACTACTAGCACTAGGATCATTTTGTAAAATTAATTTTGCCTTTAAAGGGCAGCTGCTGCGGAAGTGTACAATAAATATCTAATTTAGTAAAAGTTGTTCTCTAGTGTTTTTTATTTATAGGAACACATTATTTCTGATATCAATTTCACCTCAAGATCCATTAGCCGGTTTTGAGCTTTTGATCATTTAATTTATATATCATAATCATATATCATATATCATTTATAAAATGAACTTTTAGTGAACAAACTACAAATAAAAAACTTGTTTCAACTACAACTACACCTTTGATGAATGTATAAAATACAGATTTCATTTGTGTCTAAATTAAAAAAACAGCACACAAGAAAATAGAAACATACTGTAGGTTTTATTTACGTTTGTCATGACGATGAATTAGAAAATGGTGCATGTGAACATGAATCACGTTGTTTCGCTCGTCCCTTCAGGTAAACTGACTGTGGTGATACATGGGGCGTGTCACCGCTAACACTGAGCAGTGACGTACAAGACGTTGGCCTAAAGGCACACCTTCACAACCACCGGACACTCTAAACATGGAGAAGACGTGTGAGCCACAGGCCAGTTCAGTCATCATGCATGATCAACTGGCAGCAACACGAAGCAAGCCACAATTCACTGCGTTCAGATCTGTGGTGCCTTTTTCGTAAAAAGAAAAAATTCAATTAAATGTAAGACACTGATGAGTCCACACACACATTTTCACTTTTGTCATGTTTCTACATCCACAAGTGTTATATATTTCCATTTTCTCTTTCATTGCAAACATTTACAAAGATAATTATGACAGCCTTATTATTAATGAGTAGTTAAGTACATCAAGGCTTGAAATGCTGAAGCCTGTATATAAAGTCGGTGGTCCTACGCTCGTGGCTGGGTTCTCATACGGACGAGCCCAGAATACAATAAGGTGCGAAGCATCTCTAGGTTTTAAGGGGCTGTACAGCTTGATAGATAAATCAGAAATCCTTGATCAAATGCAAGCAATGACACAATATTTGTGATCTCTAAGGTTTAGAAATAGTGCTTTTCCTGTGCCAATCTGAGGTAGACATAACAAAACCAATGCAACACAAAAAAGAGACGGGGGTTCTTGGGAGCTTGCGACTGAAACGGACGTCGTTTGAGCAAACAAGCATAAATGGCTAATTAGGTAAGTCGGAAACAAGCTGCTTGTTGCAAGTCGGCTGAAACGGCCCGCATCGTGTTTCCGTCTGCTCCAGTCTTTAGACAATTGCACAAAAGATCTTACCAAAACTCTGTCGACAATTATAAATTATACAAAGCAGGAATGAACTTTTACAGTGTCACCAGCTGCACACAGGTTGGACAGAGAACTGAAAGCAGCACCGACATCCCCGAAACAACACGCCAGAGAGATGGTGAGGGTCTGACAGCCAACAGTGCACTTCTGCGCGCACACACCCACACACAGCAGGCCTAAAACACACACTCCGTTACAGCAACATCACACACAGCCACAGTTATTGCTTCAAAGCAGATCACTCACACACACACAAGCGCACAGCTCCAGCAGTATTGTATTCAGTGCCGCTGAGTGTAGACGAGCAGCAGGAAAATAAAATGTAAAAATAAACATGCAGGCGACTGCAAAGACTGCCTTAATAACAGTCTACAAAAAAGCACCACAGTTTGAAGAAATTAACACGAAGAGAGAAATGTGGCACAGCAAGAAGTGACTGTACATAAAAGCCTCTCAGATCGTCATCCATGCGGTGAACAAAATAAAAATGTAGGACCCTGTGATTTAAAACTCAAAAGCCTCACGCTTAGAAAAATACTGAAATATGAAACAAGCTCCGGGTTTTCATCTCGTCTGTATTCCTGCTGAAGACATTCTTTGGTCATGAAATAGGCTGAATATACATCAAATTCAACAAACGCACAAACACGCTGCCGCACAAAGGAAACACGCAGGAACTGATTCAACGTCACGGTGGATCTCACGTCCCGTGCAGAAGAGTCGCTGGTGCAAAAATGGACTGATGACTTGTTTTCTTAAAGACAGTTTGAACATTTATCAAACAAAAATGACGACATTTGACCCTAAAATCTTGAGTTGTAATTAATTTGCTTTTGCAGATTTCTATTTTTTTAGTGATCAAATCGATGTAGTCGTAACACAGAAAACATCATACCCAATCGTCAGATTGGGTATTTACAGATATTTATGTTTACAAAATAGTTGCCTGCATTTACCTTTGTATGGCAGCAGTGATTTCCAACACCACCATTACAATATTTACTTCCCCCAGTCACTCCGGCAGTGTCACACTGACCTTTCACCTCCTGGCAGCTGATGCCAAACATCTCACCACGTACACACCTTGCACTTGCCAATGAACCCAAACAACGATGGAGATGTGAATATTAACTTAAAGAGATGGATGGTGTTTAGTTCTCACTGTCTCCGCTCTCTGGCAGTCCACAGGAGTAGCTAAGGCACAAAAACAGATACAGACAAATTCCAACCAATTCCAACCAATCCCAACCAATTCCAACCAATCCCACCCCATTATGTGGCTCCGGTGTCTCTCCATCCAAACCCTTTGGTTATTCCCCTCCACGCCAGAGCCAGAAGTCCCCTGCTGGTGGGAGACTTTGCACTGGGTCTGTCCTTAATAGTGCACATTAAATATGACAGAGACACGCCTTCTTCTGCCTGCTGAAGTAGGAAGTGGAGGGAAAAGGGGTGAAGGGTTGAGGGGGAGAGCGATGAGAGGGAAATCAGCCTTGGAGCTCCTCAAAGCACGTGTCACAGACCCGTACTGGCTTTTTCGAGGACGGTGTGAGGGCGTTCCTCGGTGAACACTCGGCGCAGAAAATGTTGCCACAGTGTCTGCAATGGTGCTGGATATTCACAGAGGAGAAGGAGAGGGTCACATTACAAAGTGCACACTTTAAAATGCGTGTCCCGTTGCCCTTTGCTCCAAGACAACGTCATTCTTACCCTCCTGACGGTCACGCTAAAGCCTTTCCCACAGCCCATGCAGTTCTGCACTTCGTGATCTTCGGCCCACTTCCTGGTCAAACTCTGGCACTGCTTGATCTAAAAGCAGCAACAGCAGAAGTTACAAGCGGAGCGTTTCACTTTATGTATAAAGCATCCTAACAAAACCAGCTGACAATGTTTTTCTTTATTGTACAATACAAACAAGACGCCTCGTGTTCCAGGACCGACCTGGAGCGACTGGTTCTCTCTGCCGAGCTCCTGCATGGCTGCCGTCGTGTCGTCCACCTTCCTCCTCAGCTCCACCATCTTGGCCTGCAGCTTCTCCATCTCGCCTTCACCCTTCACACACCTGAAACACAAGCACAGAGCAACGGTGATGTGTGTGTGTGTGTTATTGTTATATTTCAATCCAAGTTTGACTAGTCACATCGTACCCATTCACTTATGTACTATATACACTGTAAATACTGCATGTAAAGCATTGTATGCTGTATTGTAGACAGAAGATCACACCAGGTACAAGGAAATTAGGTTCTTTAAAATTTGAGAGGCTATATTAGTGAATTCAAAGTTGTAGGAGAGACGAGGGCAATGTTCAGCAGCTCACAGTGAATGATTGAATCTTATCCCACTACCTCCACATTAGAAGGTACATGTATAGAAAGAGTCACTTCTTACAAATATCTAGACATATAGCTTGATGACAAGTTGACTTTGAATGTGCATATTGATAATCTATTGAATAAGCTAAGGCCAAAACTGGGCTTTTTTAAAATAACGCTGCATTACATTTAGCAACAAATACGGACTCACACACTCACGATTGCATTTTATCTGAATCTTAAGGACGGTCCTCTCTGTACCAGAGTAGAAAAATGCACGTTATATATATACACGACTATAAATTAGCAACTATATTTTCACTTAACCTTGTAGCAGCTGACTCAAGTCACCACCTCTGAATATAGCCACAAGTGCTCCGAAAAGTATTGAAGCCATTCCTCACTCGCTCCTTTACTTCTACATACTTCAGTGAGCTTTGAGGCCAATCAAGAACATGCATTTAAGTATTTTTATTGGAACAAAGGGTCATTTCTTGGGTGGCACGTTGTTTAAAAGGAAGCAACGTCGACTCACCTTTCCAGAAGAGCCCGTCGCTCGTCCTGGTTGTTCTGGACGGTGGCCTCCAGCACGGCGATCTCTCCTCTCAGCTCATCCGTCTGCTTTTCCAGCTCGCCGACTCTCCGCTGGCTGCCCTGCCACTCTCTCTTCAGCGTGGCCACGTTTTCATTCAAAGCCGTCACCTGCGCCCCCATCTTAGCTTCTGCCTCTTCCACGCGCTTCACCTGCTCTCCTCGGGTCCGCTTCTCTGCCGACTTTGAGAGAAAAGCATTGATCGTGTCACAAAAAAGGGGGATCAGAATGACGTTTAATCCGCTAATTTAAAACAGTTTTTGGTGGAATTGGACAAGTGAGCCCACCAACTGATCCTGGACATTCTTGGTTTGTGCGAGGAGCTGCTCCTCTCTCTGGCCCCGGCTGTCCCTGGTGGCCTGGTGCTCTTTCTGCTCCTGCTCGAGGGTCTTCTGTGACGCCTCCATCTGACCCTGCAGCTCCAGCTTCCGCTGGATCAACAGCTGCTTGGCTTCCTGCAAATCCCCCAGCTCCTGAAAAGCAACACATATATAGCTCAATGAACAATCCTTGGTTTTTAAAAAAGGACCTTATAGTGTCTTTAACAAGATAAGCAATAACTCATTTCACCCATGGGGTCAAACCTCAAAGGGCTTGAGAAGTTATTGCTTTGACAATAGCTTCGAATCAATCTGAAGAAAGCTTTGAAGAACTTAAAAATCCAATGCTGGCATCAAATTGTCGACTCAAGCAAGCACAGTTATGACTTTAAAGAATGTGACCCTGATGACCTGCAGTTTATATAAGACAATAAGGCATGGGAAGCAAGTCATGTCAGCCAGAATGGGACTGATGTTGGAGGTCATCAGCCCAGGCTCTGACTCTATTATAACATGTTTCTGAGGAATATTGCAGCCTCTCTCTTCCCCTACAAAATCAAAAGAAAGACATTTTTAGTTGTTGCTTTTCATGAAAAGGCGACTGACCTTCTCGCTCTTCTCCATTAGTGTTTTTAATTCAGAAGTCAGTCTGGTGTTGCTCTTTTCCTGGACAGTCTTGGCTTTGTTCAGCTCCTCAACTTTGCTCTTCTCCTTCTCCAGCTCCTCCTGTACTTGACCCTGAGTGTGTAAGCACAATTCACAACACATGAACTTAAATCACATCAAGTCACACAGTGTTTATGTCCGTGTTGGTTAATCCGTTTGTCTGACCTGTTGCTTCTGTAGTTCCCTCAGGGTTTGTTCTTGCTGTTGGAGCTTCTGGTCCCGTTTTTCCAGATCCTGCTCCAACGAGCCCCGGCCCTTCTGCAGGTCCTGGATCTGAGCCTCTAAACCCGTCTGATGGCTTCGGTTAGCGGCCAGCTCTTCCACAGCCAAGTTCATCCTCTCCTCTGATGCCTACAGTCAGAGAAAGGACAGCAAACATGTTGTTCATCAGTCTGCCGGTTCAGAATCATCTACACCTCTCCCTAACCTTAATCCATCTATGATAATTAGTTAAAAATGAATGAAACACTGAACATAACCTCTACTCTTGCAGCATAAACCTACCTTCAGGTCTTGCCGCAGGGCAGAGACCTCAGACTCTTTGCCGTAGAAGTCGGACTGAAGCTTAGTGAGGCTTTCCTGGCCTTGCTCCGAGGCCTTCTGCAGCTCCGTCGTCCGGCTGTTCTCAGAGGCCAGCTCCTGGCCGAGCCCAGACACCTGGGCCCTCAGCTTGCTCTCCTCTTCCGTCTGGAGGTAAAAGTCGCATACACACATTCACAAAACACACTTTGGGTAACACACAAATGACTCTCAATCCGCTCAAAGAATAATAAGTGTAAAAATGCTAATTGCCTTCTTGACATTAACTTCTTGTAGCTCTGCCACTTGGCCCTTCAGTTTCTTTATCTCCTCCTCAAAGGACCCCTTGGCCGTCTTGAGTTGTGCCCGCAGCTTTTCCAACTCCTTCTCTTTCTCCTTCAGCGCCCCCTGAGTGTTAGAGCGCTGCTGCTCCAGCGTGGTCAGCTGCACTTTCAACTCTTTCTCTGCCTGAAATTTGTTGGCACACAGCAGGTCTTTAGGTTCAAACAAACACTCAAAACAATAACGCACCATCCTCGATTGTATCAGAAGCTCACCTCTCCCATCTGCTGCAACTGCTCTTGCGATTCTTTCATTGACTTGGCGACGGCCTCATTAACCTTAAGAAGCTCCTGTCTGGCCTTCTCATTGGACTTTTCCTGAGGATTAAGACCGATTGAGCTTGTGAATGTCCTGGTGATGTAACTAGGTGGCCATTTGTCACTCCTTGTTGCGAGACAGATTTCCCTGTGTTGTTGAAATGGTCTAAACAACAGCTTACTGAACCTACCTTTTCCTCCATGGCTGACTTATGGTTCTTCCTCTCTGTGTCCAGTTGACTCCGGCTCTCCTTCAGTGCTTTATTAGCCTTTCCTAGGCTCTCCTGTGTAGAGGCAAGCTCCTTCTTCTGAGCCTCTTTCTCCTGCTGGGCCTTCTGTAGGTCTACCGTCAGGCTCTGAGCTCTCCTGTCCACTTCTGCGTGCTTCGTTTTCCCCTCCTGGGTCACCGTGTCCACGTTGACCTTCAGAGCAGCTTTGTCCTGCTCGCTGCGCTCCAGCTGCTGCTGAATGTCACTCAAAGCAGCCGCTTTTTTCATCAACTCCTCTTGTAGTGTTGTAGCCCTTAACAGTGGAAAGACATTTATATTGTGTTAAGTATGATTCATATGCATATTCAATACAGTGGAGCAAACCAAAATACTAGCATGTGGCTGTGCCATCACTAAAATACCGTTACAGAGTTAGTGACAGTTGGATTTACGTGCATTTATTATTCACTTGCAACTCTTAATCCCATTTCAATAAAGCTGATGCACCAGCACAGTGAACTCACCCTGCTTTCTCCGTTTCCAGCGAGCGCTGCAGCTCCTTTGCTTTCCGTTTGACCTCTGACCCCTCCTTCTGCAGCTTCTGCACTTCCTGCTGCACCTGGTCCCGTGTGGCCTGCAGCTCCCCGACCTGTGACTCCAATTTCTGTTAGATAAAAACACCAGATTAATCAAATAAAAATGATAAAAAACAAGATGTATGTACTCACTAGAGAACATTTTAGGCCTAAATTTGCCTTTTTTACAGTCCAACTAACCTTATTGAGCCCCTCCAGCTGCTCTATACGCTGCTCTGAGGCCATTAGTTTGTCTTTGCATTCCTTCAGACTGGCATCCAGCTGTGTGCACTGCTCCTGTCTCTCCTTGAGCCTTTGGGCCTGCTCCTCCAACTTCTTCTGAGCCTTATTCAGCTCCTTTACAAGATGGTGGGAGAGGGTGCAGGATACAAGAGGAGAAAAAAGTGAGTAAAGTGAAGCAGGAGAAGGAAGACAACACATAAATCAGGGACTTACAAATGTTGTCAAAGTAAAGACATACTGCGGCACAACATCAGTGGCATAACAAAGGTGCTAACCTGCTGTTTGTCCTGCAGTGCATGCTGGGCCGTCTCCAGCTTGTTTTCCAGGTTAGCCTTCTGTGCAGCCTTGGCTGCCTCTGCAGATAGCAGCATCTCTGTCTTTGCCTTCAGCTGAAGAAAAACAGACCCACAAAAACTGTTCTTATTAAATATAAATATCATGACAACATACTGTTTTTGATCACTCCTTACAGTCAGATTTTAAAGTCTATGAGTACAAACTGAAATAAATGACATATAAATGATATATATATACAATAAATGAGATATATATATAGATATATATATATATATATATATATATATATATATAGTTTAAATACATACTACACGGACATGCTTGTGGAGAGGCTTACCTGAGCATCTAGCTGGGCTACTTTCTCCTTGCTGTCTGCGAGCTGGGTGGTGAGCTCAGTGACGGAAGTCTCCAGGGTGTGGGCTCGGTCCTGGGCTGAACGCAGCAGGGTCTTCTGCTCCTGGACCTGCTTATGCAAGTTATCCTGGGCTTGCTTGTTGCTCTCCGATTGGTTCTTCAGCTTGTCCGTCAACTGTGTGACCTTTAAGACCCACATACACAGTTTTATAAGCTTAAAAATGACGAATTGTTCCCTGTACTTAGTGTTAAATAAAACGGGCCTTCCTAGATGATGCTAATTAATATAATATAACACATTTATTAATTGTATTAATTAATCAATTAATTGTGTCAGGGGTGGCATGTGTCTTCTCAAAGTCATACTCCCTTAGTACTACAGAGAATTGACTGCAACATGAAATTGGACCCGTGTGTGTGTGTGTGTGTGTGTGCGTACCTGTTCTTGTAGTCCATGGTTTTTCTCTTTTAGCTGGTTGAGCACAGCCGTCTCTCCCTCACCGGCCTGGATCTTGGCACACAAGTCGTCTCTCTCAGTTTCCAGCTGGCTCACAATGTCCTTACTCTTCTGCAGCAGTGCCTCCAGATTCTGGATCTTCTGGTCCTTGTCTCCAATCTGACGCAGCACCTGCTCCAGGTCATTCTACAGCACGAGCCAGCATAGCAGAAAGATATTTTGGCACAAATATGTATTTTATGTTGTGTGAGAGGTGTACACACAGGCATACGTTTTTATTTGTGAACGGACAAAATGTTAAGCCATCAGAATAATGTAAAATATGCTATAATCTTATAAAGCCACGACACACAGTGGCTTCAAATCCAGCTACTGAAATTTCTACTATTATCAAAAAATAACATTTTGCAATATGGTGACGTTCAAAATCTGCATTCTGACCTGTACTATTATGGTTAAAAACTTTGTATAATTTAGGACAGCTTCATGAGTGAGCGAGCAAGCTATGAAACTATCATCACAGTATTATCACCCGATTTACTCGTTGCGACACTCTTTTGAGGTCATTTGATGACTTTGTATAAGACCATGTTACAGATTATTGGAAGAAGAAACTCACTGTCGAGCACAGCCTCTCCAATGTGTGCTAACAGAAGGACTTTCTTGTGAACAGTACCTGAGCCTCGCGGAGTTTGCCATTTGTGTTTTGCTGCAGCGCCTGCAGCTCCTGGTGCTGCTGCTTGGCTTTCTCCAGCTGGTGTTGCACATCTGTATTCTTACTGGCACTCTCCTTCAACTGCGGAAGCAAAACACAGTCATGTCGTGCATCGTGCGGTTTCTGTACATCACTCTGCAACAGTTTCATAAATGCATTAGGTTTGAATCTTGATTTGTTTATTTTTAGGAGATAATTTAATATAATCTCTAATCCTCGTGTTTTAATCACTCTGCTTCTCAGTTTTAACCGTAATAAATAAATCTATTCTGAACTACATACAAATACATTGTATCTTAGGATCCATGCTTAAACGTCATTATTTATGTACAGATGCTCTGTCTGATCTATCACAATAATTCAGTTTCCTTTCTTCTGATGCCGACCTGTTCTTCTGCACGGGACAGTTTGAGCTGCAGGTCGGCGGCCTGCTGCTCACGGTCTTTTAGTTTCTCCCCAGAAAGCTGCCTCTGTTCTTTAAGACGACCTTGCACCTCACCCAGCTGTCTTTCTGCCTCCAGCAGTTTGGCATGCAGCTAGGAAGAGCACATAGAGAGGGGGGGGGGTTAAGTCGGAAGGCGCAGGATGACAACACTAATAGCAAGAAATACAGCAGATACTGTCTGGAATCCTCTTTGACTTTGCTTTTTTTTAACACATAGGACATTTGTGCCTCAACTGGATGCGTCCTGCGTGCTCTCTGTGTGTGATCGTTGTCAACCCACTCACCTGACTTATCTCAGTCTGCTGCTGAGCTCCTTGGTTGTCTTTTTCTTCCCTTTGCAGTTCCAACTGTTTCCTCTCCACCTTCAGCTCTGCATGCTTCACCTCCAGCTCCGTGATCTCATTCTTCAACTTTGTCACCTCCTCAAACCTCTCTCCGAGCTCCGTCCGGGCCTTCGTCAGGGAGGCTTCGGACCCTGTGGCCCGAGCCTGGAGCTCTTGAACCTCCAGCTCCCTCTCTCTCAGGCTGCCTTGAGCTCCCTTCTTGGCAGCCTTCTCAGCTCCCAGACACTCCTCCAGTTCCTGGTACTCTTTCTCCTTACGCGCAAGCTTTTCAGACAGGCTCTGTGAGAACAGGAGAGGATAACATTAGGTAGATTGCCCAGAAGATTGGGAATTATTGGAGTGATAGATGTCCCCGAGTAGGGAGCAAATAAACGAAAGCGAAACTATAAACTCTAGCAAGTTAAATCATTTTTTGAGGGAGTAGGGTCTCAAAAATAAAAGATAGATATTGACAGTGACTGAAAGGTTAGGCCATTTATTAAGCCACACTGTAACCATTTGTCTCCTCTACATTAAAACAGTTGGTGTGATAAGAGCTGCAGCAAGACACAAACAACTTATGCGATAGATAAGCGATGGAAAAGAACGGTCAGCTGTCAAGAGTAATGTGAGTTGTGGTATTTCTAGAGAAAGGTTTACGACACAGGACTGGGAATACCGTGGTATGTGAACAGCACTGGCCCTGGTTTAAGCTCTGGCAGTAAACTTGAAAACATGGTGATAAAGAACATAATGTTGTTGATAGCGGAGCGTGCTGCTAACTAGAGAGTGTGACAGGGCACCTGGACTTCACAATAAACCTCTGCAAGCCACCACAGCAGCTGGCCAACATTAACAACCGTCTGCAGACACTTTATCCCCTCATCCCTCTCGTGTCATTGTCATAGCTCCCCTGCTGGGTCTCTCCTCTCTAACCCTGGAGTTACAGACCAATGAAAACCCCTGTTTGTCGTTAGCCTGTCTGTTCTTAGTCCTAATCCTCGGTGTCTCACTGTCTGCTCCGTCACTTTTGTCTCTATTCTCATGAGATAAGTATCGGTATCAGATCTCAGGGTAACCTGTTGTGAGGAGAAGCTTGGGGTGGGGGCAGCACACTGTAATCCTCCTCTTACCCGGAAACCTACTTGGCAATGACGGCATTGACCGGCCTGATGTGGGAGGATTCAATCTCTGGCAGGATCCCTTTGCCTCCACTGCGCCAGTGCAGTTACCACCCCCCCCAAGAGACCGAGCTGGCATGGCAGAGATCCCCCCCTGCTGGTTTAATTATAGAGCTGCATGTGGTTTTTGCATCAACACGTCTGGGTTGCCAAAAAGAGCTGGTGACAGCAGGGCATTGTGACGGGGCCTGATGCCGGGCAACAGAGGAAGGTTTACAGAAACTGAGATGGTGTGCTCTGTACTTGAGGGGCGGCTGGCAAGGCTTATCAACATTACTGAAGCAAAAGTAAATCATACACAATCACATGCTTTACAATGTGTGGCAGATACTTCAGCAGATATGCTTGCGCCTGCAGTAATCTGCTTCATGTGACTATAACTGTAGCTGTTGGTGTGTGTGTGGTACCTGGCTTTGCTGCTGCAAATTATTCAGATTGCTCTGCAGCTGGTGGATCTGTTGTGTGTAGACAGCTGCTTCCTGTGGACCCTTCTCCAGCTCTGCTTTAAGTTGGGATATGGTCATCTGCAATACAACAGACACACATGTTACACTCTCTTTGCAAACCATTGAGTGGACAATCAAAGAACTGAAGCACCACTGTGAAGGAATGTCATGAAAGAAGAAAACAAACCCAACATGGATGAGTAACAACAAGGATTAAAACACACAAAAATGCATCAAAAACCTGAATAGGTGTAACTTGAAACAACATGTTTTACCTCCAGTTTACGAATCTTGAAGAAAGAGTGAGTGTTGTGGAGGGACACAGTGTGTGAGGAGCAAAAGAAGAAGGGGAGGGAAAGAGAGACACGTACAAAGGTGAGGCACAAAACAACAGCAAACGTCCGACCTGCAACTCAGAGCCAGATGCTACTGGGACGGGAGGATAAATAATCAAATCCACAAACATTTACCACACGTAATCGTGACAACATCGTGCTGCGGCAGCATTACGCAGAACATTTTATTGACAGCTGATCGCAAAAAACGCCAACATGTTCATGAATTGCAACTACAGTTTCAGACTGTAGCCACTTGTCATTTATTATCTTAGGAGCTATTACATGATTAAAAACAGAGTTTTCATATAAATTCAGAATGTGGTTCCTCAATTATAAAAGCATGAAAACTATCTTTTGAGATCATTTGTTAAATAAAGATAAAGGTTCGGCACCTGGACTTCCCTATAAATGTTTCCATCCTTGTGGGAACAAAATGCAGGAGATAAATCTGAATTATTTATCAGGCATTAATTAGTGAGAAATAGGCACAAAGCCACCTGGTATGGAATACTGAAAGTACGTCAGTTATTTCAGAGCTAGTTGTGAATATGAATCTTACAACTACAGTTGGTGGGCCTGAGTAATGACGGTATTCAATTTAAACAACTGTATTTCACATCAACATTACAATCGTATTATGCAAACTGTGGGAATCAGTGTGCATCTTTATGTGCTTGTGATAGGTACAATTTAGGGTGGAAGAGTGGAAAACGTGAGAATCTGCAGAACTACATTTCAGTACAGCGGGTGATTTGGTTCCCTCACCTCTGAGGTAGTGTAGTTAGCCTGCAGCTGCTCGCAGTGGGATTTGAGGCGCTCAGACTCTTCTTCCCTCTCACGGGTCATACTGTCCATCAGTGTCTGGACCTGCACCAGCTCCTTCTGCAGCACCTCCACATCCTCCACTCCCGGCCGCTGCAGCTAGGGGGCAGAACAGAGGCACTGTGTTAAAGCCGGGAGAACTGAGCGGCAGACAGTGGGAACAACAGGATCTTTGGTATCAAAAAAAATAAAAAAATCTGTCAAAACTGGATTCTTAGTAATAGCTGAATTGATCAAGTGTCTCCTTGAAGCTCCAGAAGGAAACCTATTTTTGTAGGACGCCCCTAAGCCACTCTGAACAGTAACAAAACAAATACAGACAGATAAAATAAAAGTGTGATGATGAGGGTAATAATGATGAAGGGGCCGTCTGAGTCAGATCTGCTTCGATTCTTCCAACACACAGCTTTGAGCCAAAAGGATTTCATTGTGTCGATTCAACGTTATTCCCGCAAACAAAAGCACAGCATTCATGAAAGGTCTCCACAAAGTGTTAAGTATGACTCAAGCTGTGTGAGAAGAGAATAAATACTTAATGGAAACCAAGTGTACGCTGTACCAGTTCTGTTTGGAGTCCCTTGTTCTCCTGCTTCTCCTTCTGGAGCTGTTCGGTCAGTTTGCCCAGCCTCTGGTCAGCAGCCTCCCTGAGGCTCTTCTCCTCATCATAGCGGGACTTTAAGTCTGTCAAATTCAACGATTCAAAATATTTAATTGTATCCAATTAAAAAAAATTTAAAAAAACACACCAATACCTCTCTTGTTTACATCAGCCAACTGATTTAAGGAAAACATTACCAGTGTAAAATGTAAAATGCAAAAGCCATGTCGTTAGTCCATAAAACCAAACGTTGAAGGAACAACTTATGCAAAGTGTGTTTAAGACAAAACACAACGGATAGATTGAGCTTAATAGTGGTTTAGTACAAGAGTACTTTAGTGTTGTAAAATGATGCAGACCCACAGACACAGGCCTCCCAGTATCCAGGCGCCACACTGACCTACTATCTCTGTGGCCAGCTGGGCAGCCTTCTGCTCAAACAGGTCTTTCATCTGCTTGATGTTGAACTTTTCCGTCTCTGCTTCATTCAACTTCTTCTCAAGGGCTGAGAAAAAGAGCACCGTATATTAGAGATTGATGTTTGGCATCCTTTTCCACAGTTCTCTATTAAGTATAAGTTTCCCTACCTGAATCCTCCGAGGTCACCTGTCCATCATTCTGTGGAAAGGAGGGAAAGAGAGAAACATGTACAGTAAGAGTAAGCAATGCCATCATGTTTTATCAAGCAGTTTCATATTCAGAAGATTTCATTTGAAAATATATTAAACATCTTGAAGGAATTACTTGCTTCAGTTGTCCTTGGACTTTGTCTAACTCCTTCTTGAGCTCTTCAGAGAACCACTTTTCCTCCTAATCAGGTGAAAACACAGACTAAAGTATTTGTATGAACCAACCACTTGTAGACCTCTGTTCGGGTCAGAACCTCCACTTTACCTTGAGAGAAGTATGCAAGTCCTGAACTTCTTGCCGCAGCATTGTAAGGTCTTCCCTACAAAAAGGAGGAAATAGCGCATTCACAAAAATACACAAACAAACAAATTCTGTCACCATAAGGTCAGACTCATTGTCGTAAATGAAGTCTCACCGAGTGGGGGCCATATGAGTGGGCAGGTCCCCGGTGTCATGGAACAGCTCATAGTGCTTAAACAGCTCCTCTGCAGAGTTGTGAGACTTCATACACTGAGGACAGATGAAGCCCTGAACACAGAAACACGTCGTAGGAATCAACCAATCGATAATAACTTCGGATCTGCTTCATGGGCAGAAAAAAATGCTAGAAAAGCCATGTGTCCGTTCACGTTACCTCAGACGTCTGATCGTGGTTGAGGTCTGTGCTGGGCTGCTCTGAATCTGCATTCTGGGAGCCCCCCTTCCCAGGAGTCTAAAGAGCAGAAAATAGATCAAATGAATCTGAAGGTATGACAGCACTCTAGCATTATAAGCCTTAAATAAATGTAGTAATAAATAGCTCTACCCTGGATTGTTTTCTTTTTGAAAGCATAAATATTTCAGACAGTCGTATCAAGATAAACAACACTGTAGTATGTGGTGACACCAGTTCCTCCAGATGCTGTATGATGTCTATAAAAAGTACGATACTGCTGAAGCTTTGTCATGTTGCATGGAGATTGTAAGTGCGCAGCAGTTTTCAAGTCTAGCCACAAATTCCCCATTGGATTGAGGCCGACTCTGATTTAGCCACTCCACGACACTAACATTATTGTTTTGCAACTGCTAGATTTCCGTGTAATTAACTTTTCCCTCTGCCGTCACAACCCAGCCTCCAGCAGAGCAGCATCCCGACAGCACGATGCTGCCACCACCACGCTTTATGGTTGGGGATGGTGCGGATCTGGTGATGTATGGTACTTGGCACCAATGGTACAATGGTATGATGGCCAAATGCTCCACTAAGATCGCATAGAACCTTCTTTTTCATAGCACATAATACAGTAACAATTAATTGTTATAATCTTGTTTGTCTACCATATTTTATTGTACATTTTAATATGTTTGTTTTTAAATTATGTCTTGATTATTCTTGGCAATTTAATATATAATGTATGCCATAATAAAATGTTACAATGTTGACAGATGTAAACCAATTCAGTGGTTCACTAACGTTATCATATAGAGGACAGACCATCCGATTGTTTCCCATTTGTCCCTAAACCCGTAATAATGTAGCTTATGTGTTGTCACCTACATTGTTTTAATAATGAACGCGCTTCTACTGTTGGTTTATATGAAGAGGAAAGAAACGATACAGTGATTCGTAACATGAAATGTTTTATTTTGTGTTGCTTCCTAAACGTTTGCAATACATCCCTTGGAGGTCTGACAGTCCACGACCTAAATACATAATGTTGTAAAATGGATTTTCCTGGTTACAAGGCCGGAACTTCAAAGTGTACACAATGATGCAGTTAACGTTAGCAATGCACTGTGGTTACTGTAGTCCTACAGCTAGCTAAGTAGCTAACCTCTTACTCCCACATGAAGGCTAACTGTAGTGACAAGCTGGTATCCAAAACAACAACGTCAGCATTCACATTAGTATAAGCTTAATTTACGTTAATTAAAACAAATTTTTTTTTTCATGATGCGGTAAACCAAGTGACACGGGACTTCCCAATAGTCAATCTGTGGCTAACGTTAGCATGTGATGAGTGGACGATGAATTAACCTGCTATGACATAGCTAGCTAACAGGAACCATGAAAATAAAATGATTCCGTGACCAAGAACGTTAGCTGGCTACGTTATGCCTCGATTAGCCCTGGAGAGTAGGACACGTAGGCTAATAGTTCGCTGCTTCATTACAGAGGTACTAGTTAGCTTGCGACATCCCTGTCAGGAGTAACGTTAGCATTAGAACCAAGTTAGCGTTTGATGGCTAGCTGTATCAACCCCACAGAAGGAGCGCTTGATATGCCTATTCCGATCTGGCGGTGTGGCGGGGTCTTTTCCCAATCGAGGAACTCCCGTTGAGAAAAAATAAAAACCCCGCCCACCTAAAACACACTGTGTTTTAAAACGTGCGTCCCCACCATGAAAACAGACAAGGATAGGCCCGTGTCTTCCAAGGAAAACGACTCGACTTAAACGAAACTAAAGCGACACGGTTGACTTTGTTGAACCAGAAGCTTACCATTTGAAGTATCCGTCTGAGCATAGCCTCGTCTTTGTTTTTCCCGACACAAAATCCAATCAGTTTTCTAAATGCAAAGTTTACGTCGCTGTACAACGAACACCTGACCGAGCTCCGACAGCAGCGGCGAATGGGCGGGTCAAGGGAAGGATGGTTAAACCCAAGCAGGACACACAGCCTGGCTATATTCAAGATTATAAAACAAGTGTTGTCATATTTCTACTGCACTGATTAAAACAACATCGCTATGGGGATGATCAATAAACGTTTTTTTTTTTTAATTTAAAGGTTTTATATACAACACCATGGCACACTGCAGAAAATTCCAGTCACAAAAACAAATAGAAAAAAAAAAAAAGGATTTATCAAGAAGAGCCAATGATATTCAATAAACTGAGTTTATAACATACGTTGCACTGACAAAAGAAGTCTGGCACACTGACTATGACTTCCGGTCATAGTTTCCTGTTCATGATGGTAGGGAGTGTTTCCCTTTGAAACAAATAAATAAAATCAATGCAAACTAAATACTGTACATGAAATTGTAACAATTCCTTCAACATCCAATTGTTGGAATCCAACCACAGCCAAGAAATATAGGGTCTGCTATCGACATTGTGTGTAAGTGCAGATTGTACCGCTTCCAGTAAGGGCTGCTGGGTGTAAAGTGTCTTGTAGAAACTAAACACAACTAAACACTATTGTTTGTGAAGGCACTTAGAAGACTCAGACTAAAGCACATTGCAATTCTCCGGTAAAACAAAAGGCCTCTCAGCCCAAACATTGACAGGACAATTTGTCAAATGCACTTTATAATCATAGTGTCTTCTGCAGACATGTATTAGTTCTTGTATGAACTTTGGCACATTTGCTAGTTTTGAATTTGCTGACTGCAGCTCCGTTCCATTATACAGCAGCTGGTATTTATCTACCTACCAATACGCTGTTCTTTGTTCAATTTAACATTCAGCCTGACAACATTAACTATATATACAAACAAAAGGATGCTTGAAGAAGAATTTAAGTCTATTTTAGTGTGGTGGCTGGTATAAAGCCTAATCTTTATGACAGCATTACACTGTTACTAGTGATTAGCGATAACACTGTGTGTACTTGTAAACTGGTAATTATAGGAGGAGCAATGTTGTTCACACTTATACAAATACAGAAATACTTTACAAGACTTGAGATGTAGTCAGGTGACATTAGGTCTTGCTTCCCAAACATGCCCAAACAATTCACAAAAAAATGAATTGTAAAAAGTGACTCATTCACATGTAACCGTTCCTCTTCAAAAACATCTTGAAGAGGGGAATTAATTGGCACCGAGTCACTGTGGGTATATGACTTCCTCTAAGGGCAAACACTTCCCAAGAAACAACCCAAATACTTATGTGCACTGCTGGTAAAATATTGTGCATTAAAGGCTAAATAGGACCTACACTGCAGAAGCAGCTCACTGAGAAAATCCATCTCAAGCTGAATGCTTTTAAAGGAAACATTTGCTCCATTAGCTGTTGAGATTTATTAAAAAATATACATATAAAATCTTAAATATACTTGGAAAACCTGTTGGCACTCCCTAAAAAATGGGTTTCAAATCAACTTAAAGGAAGTCCATACTGTACATATTAAGAGGCTGCTTTAGTAATGCAATCAAAGCAGAAGTCTTTCCCAGATGTCCATCGCGTTGTCCTCTCAAAAGAAGTGCTTGCTGCTGGTGGTGCTGGTCCTATCTGTTGGCTAGATCTGAGCCCTGTGTGGAGCAAACAACATAGTGAGACGTGTTGTTGTCCGTCACTTGGGAGCTCGGGGTGTTGCCTTTAGTCGGGCTACACACAGGACCACAGGGGGGGTTACGGGTGCTTGTGAGCCTGTGTAGGTACTCTGCATGGACAGGCTTGTGGCTCTGCAGCACCCTGATGGCTTCATCAACTTTGAACCACTTCCTCTTCCTTCCTGCGAAAACATTCAAGGGAGGACAGGGACTGATCATCAGATGTTTGGTGTTGCGCTCAATGAACCTTTATCAACAACCATGGATTATACTGAACGTTGTTGGTATTGAACCTGAGACCATGTGGTTTTCAGTCTGTCAGCATTTCAGCTTTGATTGGGAAAAAACAATTGTTGGATGCCTTGATGTGGCCTTCCCTATTTAGATGTTGGAAAGGTGTGGTAAGATGGGTTTCAGAGGCTGTTCGACAATCGAACAAGCACTCCGTTTCAAGCATATTGACCTTTTTTAACTACACAATGAATACACAATGGATGATAATACAGTATATAGATAATAATAATCTGAACTGCCATCACTCATATTTTTCACTTCAGTGTTCTTAATTAGCTTCAGTGTTTAAGCTTGAGAAAAGATATGAAAGAAACCAGAAGTAAATCCTGTTATATATTTTTATTTCTTACTGACAAATTTACACATTAGTATGTCTCAAGTTGACTTGTTAGCCATCAATTTGTGGTTGATGCATTCCTGCCTGAAGACTGTTTTGAACTTTTCTTTGAAATGAATGAGGTCATTTTTCATTTGAGCGTGCAATTTCCTGGATAATTTCTGCCAAATTCTTGTTATTTATGAATGCCTCAGCATGGCACCCTTTCTCACCTTTTCTCCTTCTCGATCTGTTACTCCGACTCATTAAGTTCAGCATAAATTTAGCATGATTTGTTGACCGTAAGTAATTCTAATTACGCTGACATTCTTCACTAAAACTCTTAAGCAGCATTACTGAGCATCTCACTGAGCGGTGAGTAAGATTGCTCAAACGGCGAAATATTGCGAAACCACAATAGTATACAACACGCTCAAGAATAAACTGTTCAGCACATGTTTCAACACTCAAGTCAGAGTGGAAATGGACATTCCTGACCTACTTCAGTTGGTGTTTATGAAGCCCTCATGTCACAAAACCTTCCTAAGAAAAGCACCTTCCATAAAAACAATGTGTCCCGTAAACCGTCAGCTGGGAGTTATTAATAATGCAAACCCATCATTTCCACCAATTCTATTCCAAACAGCATTTCGGTAAAGAAATTCTATTATTATCTTTATTATTATTATCATGTTGAAGTACACTGGCCTTTCAGTAGAGGAGGAGAGTGAATTAGACCAGAGAAGAAAGGTAAGGAGGGGGCTGTGGTGAGTGATGAGAACAACAAACATTCCTCCCCCATGTGACTCAACTCTTTGTTAGTGAAGGGGGTAAATTATCACAACCACTTTTTTTCCCAGACTAGCAATAGACCAGCAATAGTTACATTTTGAGTTACTAGATTCCAATAAAAGCATTAGATTTGAAATACGAAAACATATTAAAAACAAATAGTGATCACATGTGTACACATAATCCACATGACGGGCAACTTTATTTTTCAATTTTATGGGGCAAAAGTAAGCAATGAGGGAAAGGATATGGATTCTAGGGCTGATGATCATTTTCATAATTAATTTTATCTGAACTGAAAAATGTCTGAAGTACAGAAAAATGGTAAAGCCCAGGGTGGCATCTTTAGATATATTGTTTTATCCAACCAGCAGTCCGAAATCTTGAAGTTCAGTTGACTATCAAATAAAACAAAGAAGAAGAGCACAAACTCCTCTAACTAGAACCAGAGAATGTCTTCACGATTAATGGATTATCAAAATAGTTGCAGATGAATTTTCTGTCGTTGAACTAATCACTTAGGCTCTTATTAATTATCTCCTATATGACGCCTCCTGACATTTTAGGAGAACATTGTCGATAAAATGGGATAAAATATCAATAATGCTGTGTAGTGGTAGTTCATTTAGGAAGACAAATTGGTGCTGTAGGATTGTAACACTGTAGATCGGGTGGTTTGACTTCCTGGATAAGTATGTGTGTGTGTCCCAGTTTCTCAGTTTACAAAGTGATGACTGGAGACCTCGACAGTCTTTCTCAACCACCATTTAACTGAGTCGGACTAACTTCTGTATGCCATTATGATTATGCACAGAAGTATCATGATCTGTGTAATGACAGTGTTTAATTTGCCTGAAAAACAAAATGTATGGGTTTGATAACCTCAATCAAGGTAATTTAGTTTCAATAAACCCCTGGAACCAAACTCATTTGTTGCAGAAGTTGTTTTTTTTCCTACGTCGAGACGTACCAATTTTGACAGAGTCCTCCCAGTCTTCCAGTGTTTCCGTCACTATGAGGGTGAAGACGTACGTCCTGTGCTTTCCGTCTTTATTTTGCTGCAAAGGTTTAGAGGAAGACACTTCTTCACATCACTGCAATAAACTGTGTAAATGCAATGCAAACAAAGCTTTCATACACAACAAAAGACACGATGTTAACACAGGCAAGCCTACATAGGCACCCTGGGCATGATAGTAGGGTTACCAGCTAAGCTGATACAAGACTTGAATCAGTGTAATATCGTGAGTTGTACGCCATGTGAGAATATATTATAATTCCCCATGAGTTTGACAAGCTTACCTCAAAAATCCCGAGTAGTCTGCCAAGTTTGCCCTTCACACCCGCCTGTACACACATGAAGAAAAAGAACCAGGAGTCATTCAACACACAGCCGATGCTGAACACTACTGTCGATTTCTTTCATAAATTCTTACTAACAAACCTTTCACTGTGCGATATTTTCCTGTGACATGTGACCTGGTATTAGGAACAGCTAGTCTCTGTTGTGATTTGTATGCACATTCTCAGTTGATCAGTTGTCCCATATAGGAGCGGTAACCCTGTGGCATGGTACCATGGCATCTCCGCAAGCTCGTGAGGCAGCGTATAGCCGAGGTGACCAGCTAGACCTAAACATGGTCTGATGACGAGACAGGTGGACTTAACACAAGAACATTGCAGGAGCGCCTGGCTTTGTTCGGCCTTTGCTGTGTGGCATAACTCAGATCAACTAGGACGTCTGGAACCCACAACAGACAGAGACCATTGCTGCCAATTCCATACTGCATAGCGATTGTGTACAGTATATCTCCTACTTGACTTTATATAATATTGTTTTTGCAGTAAATATACAAGACATTCTCATACATTAAACTGAACAAATGGAACTCATATATTTTAACTACTTGTTTGTATGTTTTCCAAGATCTTTCTGGAGCAGTTTAACCACAATTTGCCATTTATTTTAATTTTGTGCAGCTGCAAGCAGCTCCTTAATTTCCGTTGTTCATAGCTTTGTGGTCAAATAGTCCACATCAGCAACACAGTCAAAAATCAAGCTTGTTTTTCCAGTATGCATGCTTTTGACTTTTGTCCTTTTTTCAGTGTGAACACATTACATACTCAAAAGAGTTGATAGAGGAGAATTGAGACACAGCTACTGTCTATACTAATGGACAACAAACCAAAAAAGGTTGTATAAGTAGAACATTTTTCAAAATGTTATCTTTGCTTTGTTATAGTGATCATACCGAAAAAAAAATATATAGCAATTGAATTCGAAAATCTTCCGATAGTATGGACAAATCTCACACGAGCGGGTGTTGAACATGACGTTTTGAATTGTTAGCCTGCCTCAGTAGTTGGTTTGCAGCTCATCTATATTCAGGTACATGTTTGGTCTCGGAGGCAGAGGATATGGGTAACTGGAAACCCTTCCCAAATGTCACTGCCATACTTCAAAACTGGCAGCACACTTCTATCAAAGGCAGAGGCTCACAGCGCACTGCACTCCAACTACCAGCAGCACCCGCTGAACAAACCACTGAACAATTGACTGGCAATGAAGGCATCATTGCCAAATACTTCTATCCCTCAGTATTGGCTATAACTATAACTTTCAAAAATTGTTGATATACTCGCTTAATGTTTATGATAACGATCATAGGCATCTATGCTTCTAGCCTCTCAAAATGAATTGAATACAAACAAATAATTTTCAGTGTGCAATACAGACATGTCAATTAAAGGGAAAATTCTTCGATTTTTCAACCTTATCTCTATCTATCCAAGTTAGGGATATAAAAAAAAATCCTGCTGTTCTCGGTGTCTCATCTGCAAAATCGGTTGTTCTTCCTGCATCCACTGCTGCTATTTGCGACAGTGACGTAGTCGGTGGTAGGAAGAACTACAAGCTGTTTCAGCTAGGATTTCTCTGGGTAGCTCATGGATGTATGAAGTGAGCCAAGGGGGCGAGCTCTACATGTCGCACAAAAAAGGGAAACTCCTTGTTCTCTTTGCACTACATCTACCATCGACACTGATTGGACATCCACATAAAAGATGGAGAATTTTTCCTTAAAGCATTTTTTCTAATGTTATGTAAGGTTCCAGGGTCATACCTGTGGTTTTGCTGTATTTTATTGCATTATCAAACATCTTCATATTTGAACCAGCTTTCTGTTTTTTTAAATCAACGTTAATATCACACAGTGCCGAAGAACAGTTACATGATGTTTGTGCCTGTTTTTCCTGTGGATGAGCTTACCTCTTCGTAGACCTCCCTGACGGCGGCCCCACAGGCCTCCTCCTCGGGCTCCATGCCTCCTCCTGGCACGATCCATTGGTCTGGATGGCGACTGCTGCTCACCAGTAGCACCTGCCAAGGAGAAAGGCCCTCGTCAGGTCCCTGCTGCCGAGTTCAGGGTGCCAAAAACACGCCAACGGCATGCCCATGTTTAGAGTCCGTCACCACTATAGGTGTCTGGTGGCGGCTGAGTGTGGTGCTAGTCATTCAGCAGGATGTGTATTAAACATCTCACATGTCATTCACTTCATTTACTTATTGCAAGATCAGCGTGGTGTGGATTGGGCTGCTGAGCATGTCACACTATTTACCGCATAATTAAAATAAGTGAATGAGAGTAACAGACGGTGTATGTTTCAGAATTAGAAGCGCAAACAGATACACAAGAAAAACACATGCAGACACCTTTAGATTGACCTTTGCTGTGTGTGTGTGTGTGTGTGTGTGTGTGTGTGTGTGTGTGTGTGTGTATCACTTTCACTTTACCTGCCTGAGAGCATGTGGGACCACAGGAGGACACAATAAAAGAAATACCCGGAAGGAATACCTCACATTTTAGGTGGATTATGTATATAACACTAAACAATTAAATAGTATGATGATCAACAACCTAAAAATAGAATACAGTAGGACAGTCCTCGACCAAAGACATTCATAGTCGCATTACACTTACATGTTTTGTCAACTAATTGATATTGATTTGTAAAAACTGAGTTTGTCCACAGTCGGAATTAAAATAATAAACTCACCAAAACAGTCCCACAAGTAACATTGCAGTGACCCATTTCAGCCATCATTTGCTTATCAAATAATAAACAAATGAGGCGAGGTGCTATAAAACATGACAAAAAGAGCTGACAAATCTGCAGTCAAATCTGAAATAATCAAACCAAAAGCCACACTATGTTTAACTGACCTCAAACAAATGCAGTTTGGTCTTTTTTGAGCACGGTGCCCCTCAAGAGATGCAGTCACTTGACCGTAAACCCTATTCTGGCATCACACTGACCCACATCAAGTTCACGTGTGAATAGTTCCCAAATCCTTTTGGACACCTGACACGTAAGTAATAGCTCTCTTTGACAGCGAAGATTGATGAAAAACAAGCAGCTTACACCCTTCATGTTATTCTATAGGTGGACACGACTGTCCCAGCAGAGCTTTCCCAGCGTTAAGATGTGTCTGCACTCCTTCTGAGCCCCGATAGTGGAAGCATGGCAGATTTGTGAAGAGCACTAATGAGACCATCTTCACTGCTGTCAGAGGTGGACTGTATTGCCCAGAAATGACTGTGATGATGAGTGGAACTTCCCGCTGTGTGACTTGGCTTGGCTGTAACTCAACCCTCTTGCCAGGTCAGGAGGAAGATAAAGGCAAGAAATCTCAGGACTCTTACTGTTCGCTTAGCTTATTCAGTCACCAACCCCATTATTAATAAGCACACTATAAAACTACGACTTCAAATAAACAAAGAGCTCCTGCTTTCCTGCTTTGGATCACTGATGTAATTGCTTAAATGCATGTTCGGTGTTTCTGTTCTTGCGTAACCTATTCTTAACACAGGCAACTCTGTCAATATTTATGTATGGACGACAGGCGAAGTTAGAAGGTACGAGTGATTCTGCTGTCATGTGATATCGCAGTCAGGGAACTGAATCTGCAGTTAGATCTTTACCTCACTGGTTCACAACCCTACTCTTTATGAAGCCATTTTAAATAAGCAACACATTACCTTTACGATTAGAAAATTATTATGGGCAATTTGATTAAAAATAGAGGCCAAAGAGGATGCAAAAGAATGATTCATTCCTTGAGGCATTCCTTCCACTTCCTACCTTGATTCCTTACTTTAAAAGTAATGAAGCAGAACTTTATGTAGTGAATTTCTTTCCACTAATCGAGAATACAGTGGCAATAAAAGTACCCCCCCCCTGGAAGTTTCATGTTTTGTTGTCTCACAAAAGTTAGTCAAAGTAGATTGAAGTTGGCTTTTTTTGACAATAACGTCAAAGTAAAAAAATCTGACGACTACAAAGTGATGTAAACCAATTCAAGAAATATAGGCACTGTGCTCATTTTGTTTAATGTCAAATAGGAGTGTTGCGGCGTATGTGACATTGATGAGGTGTGAAGCGTTTGCTACGTGACGGCTGATGATGAGGTGGTAAACTAATCGCTGCGGAGGTCGAGAGCAGCCTCCCTTAGATCTCTGCCCTGTAAAAAGCCCCACAGATAACGCAGGGCCCTGGGGGCTTCAGAGACACCGGTAGCTGTCTCACTGACACAAATGTACACAACACACACACACATGCATGCACAATTTCACACAAACACCATGTGAAACACGTAGGCACTTCCACCTAAGCAGTTACACACACACACACACACACACACACACACACACACACACACACACAGCCAAAAGGCTTTCAAAAACCACCAGATCAGCAGTCGCCTTTCTGTATGAAAACAAGAGAGCTTAGCAGAGGAGGTTAATGACCCCAACAGGCAGCACACACCTCAGTGAGAGCTCAGAGGGAGGAGGAGCTTTGACTGTACAGACCCACATCAGCTTTAAGGTGATCAACACCTGATCACAATCCAGCTAAGACACTGATGACAGAGGTTATACTCATGCTACGCTAAATGAATGAGGTGTCAACATTTCAAAAATCAATGTAGTTCTATTTCTGGTGGAGTGACTCAGATGATTGGCCTAATATGAACTTCTTTACAGTAAAATGCAAACCAAAGCAAGCACGTAAAGCCTTCAGTAAAATCATTGTTGTTAACTGACTTTCAGCGAAAACATACTGTGATGACATGAACATGCTGACTGCTGCTGCTTGTTTTTCAAATGAATTATTCTGAGCAGATTGTAAAAATAAAAATAAAATAGCTACTTGCGTTCTTATTCTACTTATATATATATATATATATGTCACCATTTGAAATTATCTAAAAGTTCCTCATGAGCCACATTAGTTGGCAGGATGCATTTGATATTAATATTTGAGGTAACATGTCACATTTGATGATGGACTGTAGAATCACCCTTCTTTGGGTTAAAGGTAAACATTTTTGAGCCGGTGACTGAGCGGATGTAGGACAAGTCCTGCATATGCTAATTATACTGTATGACACCTAATTTAATACCGGCTACATAAGAATTGATGAGAGAATTGTTGCAGCACTCCATTGCGATCATACTAAAAAAGAAATGCAGCAGCAGCAGCAGAGTGCGGGAGCTGCGTGGTGCCTCAGCAGAGGATCAGTGATCACAATGACATGTGTTGATAAATGACCCTGTACCACAACCACATCAGCTGATGCCAGTGCAAGTTAGAAAACAAACACCCCCCTATAGTGCACTGATATAGATGCAATATTTGAAAAATAAAGTGGTATTTAAAGGCTGAAGGTGCACATTGAAGAACTAAATAACCAAATACATTGTTGACGGTGCAGCAGTGTCAGTGACAGCCCCTCGTGCCAGCACAGTGTGCGCTGCCAGGACACAATGAGGATGCCTTGTCTTTATGACTTATCTGGATTTCCTCCTAGACAGGAAATGAAATTGATGGGTCTCCTGCTGAGAGCCGGTTACAAAGAGTGCCAACTTGTAAGACCCCTCGTTTTTTTCATAGGTCAAATATTTTGGATTTCAGCCAAAGGTGTTCACCTCTGCCCAGCACGTCAATTAAAGGCAAAGACGTGACTCTCGCACACAATAAAACACTGCGTTATGTGGTCACGTCTGGCTACTGTATGATATAAACAGGCACACTTCAGTGGCAAAATGGAGACTTTGTTAATTATAAAGCCTGGTATGCCCACTGCAAACAGTTTGACCACCAACACCTCTCTTACCTCGTCCTCTTTTTCGTTTTTAAAACACAAACACGCCGCTCTTCTCTTGAACCCCTCGCCATCGTAAGTCCTGGTCTGGTTGGGCTTAAACTTCATCATTTATGTTCCCAATCGTCGAGTCTCCGATTTTGTTTGGGGGGGGTGTGTTGGTGGAAGCGCAAATCTGGATTCAACCAGACGCTGAAGAAAGTGGCTGTCCGAGAGAGCAGCGAATCTCCCGAAAATATGCTCCCAACTTTGAAAGCTTCTTCAGATAGTCGCAGTTCTGAAGCGTGCACTCGCTTCATTCATTCCTGGGCAATGTTAAGAGCGCTTCTGGTCGTATTTTGTAGGCTTACCGACCACGGTGGTTTAGTTCCGTTGTCAACACGCATGATTCAACAAACTCGCTCCCGTCTGTGGTCGGAGGTGCTACCAGCTGACCTGAGAGCTGCGCAACAAGCTGCCTGCCAGCTCCCACGTTACACCGAGTTTCATGTTCATCATTTTAAGCTAAACGTGGATGAAGTGTCTTACAGCTGCCAGTTCCATGCGGCCGGGTTTTTATTTAGCACTTATAAATCATCAAACTGAGATACTTTGAAGATAATTTGAGTGAGAAACTGAAAAAAGATGACCGTTTTAAACCAACAGATTGTGAGTTTTATTTCAGAAAGCATTCTTTAAAACTATCACAACAAACACACTGGCTCCTTATCCTCCCACTTTTTAATTTCCCCCATTTTTATATCCTGTTGGATATAAATAGCATTATTTTTAAAGGGGGTAGTGAGTGGGTGGAAGGGGGTCACTTATGTTCACAAAAAAAGGCTACATACACTCTAACACACACATACATATACTTACATACATACACACACACACACACATACAGTACATACACACACACACACATACATACATACATATCCAAACCAAAACTCGCCCCCTTGCAGTGCATTTGCAGTACCTTCACTGAACGAGACAGTGCCGTTCCCTGCAGTTTAAAGTCAGGGTCAAATAAACAAAACAACTTTCAGTTCAGTGAGGCAGCCTGGTGGGAACATTCTCAGGTTGTTTACAGCAGCATTCCTCTGGTAGTGAAACTTGTAAAGTAACTACTGCTGAGCATAAATGTACCAAAACTCAAGGCTTCCCTCTAGTGGAGGTAGACTGTCTCTAAACCACAGGATGTGTTCAAGGGTGAAAATGTTTAGAGGCGTTATAAAGTGACAATGTCTGATTAGCAAGGTGTCGCAAAGGGACACTGATATCTGGCAGAAACCAGAACAAGAAAGTCTTGTTTTTTCAATGGACAAAAGTCTTGATGGTTATGGAATAAAAAAAAAAGTATCCTGACCTAGAGCAGCACTATGGCTCAAATGAGGATAAAAAGGTACCATTCCAAGTTCTGCAGAGATAATTACTAAAATTTCAGGGGCATGGGAGCATGCAGGCTACATCTCCGGTATTATTTATCAAGTTTAGAGAACAGTATGACTTTGGTTCAATTTGCATTAAGTACTACACCACCATATATCATTTGTATAAAGATGTGTTTTGTTGTCCATGGAATAGACCAGGGTCCACAATGGACACCTCTAGTACCCAGCAGGACTTCAGACTGGGCACATTGCAAATCCCACACACTGATGAAGTAATAGTTCACTGGGAAAGAGGGAGGAATCAACAGATTAAATAAAATAATAAAAATGTCAGTAGCTAAATAGTCATAATTACCAGAGGTAATTAATGTTTAGTACAAACTTACATATTCTATAATGTACAGTCTTAAATAAAAGTACCTAAAAGTAAAGATTTGTTGGTGTAGTTCTCAGTGGTTGAAAGTATTTGAATCACTTTACTGGAGTATTCAAATTGTTTGCTACTTTCACAATTTCTTTCTCACAATAGATGGGAAATATTGTACTTATTTTTTAAAAAACAACTATACTTTAGTTACTTGTTTCTTAAATGTATACAAAACTTAGAAAGACCTGCACACCCACACAGGTGTTATCACCTATCATGGCTGGTTAGACCTCAAGTTACTGTTGCGCAATGATGGGAATTATGTGGTTATGAAATCCATGTACTAAATAGGTGATTAAGGTGTAATCTTCACCCAGACTTTTCCCGTCTGTATACACCAACACAATCCTGAATCCCATAAAGAATTATACCAAGACAACTATTTATTAATCAACAGATTTTATTTACAGAACATAAAAGTATGCAGGTGGGCTGTTTCATAGCATTGTGAGAGCACGAAAGCATTTCCTCCCCAGATCAACAGAAAGAAATGAATACGGACTTTTCAGCAAAAAAAACAATCACGGCGGTTGAGAGTCAAAGTCTTCATTGACCTTTTGGAATTTGATCCTGTAACAAGTAAACATCTCCTCTCATCAGTTCCTTTAACACCAACCCCCCCCCCCCCCCCACGATCCCCCACACTCTTGCCTTCAAACGTCCGACAGCTCAAATGTAACCACTGAGTTGTGAAATAAATGCCATTTGAAGAAGTAAACTACAGTTTTGCAGCAGTACACGGGGGAGGGGGAAGCAGAAAAGTCAGTACGGCATAGCAAGAAAGATTCACATATAAAAGACTGGATATGGTAATAAAACACATGCTAAAACGAAGGCAACGTCCGCAATGTCCACCCTACCCTCCACAAGCCTACATTTACACTTAGCTGAAAACGTTGATGTGACAGTGCCAGGCTTAGTTTGGTTTTTTTAGTCATATTATTTTGTATTTAACAGCCAGACGTGACTTAAAGAAGATGCAGGGCTACCATAGTTTTAAGCACAAAACTCTATTCAGCCTCCAGGTGAGTGTCTACATATAGCGGGCTAGTAGTAGTTAGATGCTTCCAATACACAAAACAGCGACACAAGAAAACTCAATTAAAAGAAATGTAAAAAGTATACACATCCAGCCAATCCCTCCTCCCTGTCTATTCCACTGCCCCAGTACCCCCAAACCCACCCACCCCCCAAACATGTGAAATGTAGGACTCTTTTACCCCCCCCCCCTCTCGTGCTTGTTAAAGCTTCAGTTGGCAAAACTTTCCAAAAATCAATGGGCAAAAAAAGCCTGGTGAGTAGATCTAAAAACCTCTGACCATGCATTTGAACAGTAGTGAGTTCGGACAAAGACGAGTCATTTCATCCCTTAGCGAGCATTTAAATCACCAATTATCAGCAGTTGTTTTTTTCCTTTACAATATATATTCATGTTTATTGTATAATATATATGCATGTATATTTAAGACTGTGTCCTTTAAATACAAATGAAGTCAGTAGAGGTCTTGGCAGAACATAAGGAGTTATGTTCACACTTGCATCTCCACTTGCTGGGCTGCTCTACACATCATTTTTGCTTCCAGCATAAAGCCTGGTCCATGACTTGGCTGGAAAGTAGAACAAAAAAATAAAAAACCCACATAATGAACATGAGTCACGTATATGATACCTATATGGCACGTTTACAAAGACTGCATAAAGACATGTGTGTATAATCTAAATGACAGAGGGGGGAGGGAGCACTAGGCAAGCGCTGGATGGAAAGTTTAATAAACCAGATCATAGCGCTCACCTGTTTCTATAGCTTCGACTTCACTGGACTTCCACTTCTCTGCAACGTCATTTGCAAGGGGATCATCAGGGTTGGGTGCACTAAGTAACGCCTGGATTGATAGCAGCACTGTGCGAATCTGGAGAGCTGGCGACCATTTATCTGATCAAAATGAAAACAGAGGGATTATTAAGAATAAAATCGAGAGGGACAATAGAGAGTTTTAGGCTGCAGGGGCAAAGAAGAGACGATGCTGATATGAGGTAGTCGCGGCACAAAGCTCCAGTGAGGGGTCACAAGTGTAACGAACAAGGCCCTTGATCTTTTGAGCAAGATGAAATCGGCAAAGCCCTCACTTCATCCACAGGCCAAACATCAGAGGACACAATGCATACAGGCTTTCATACAGTAACAAGAGTATTGACGTACCTTTCAAAATGTCTAGACATATTCTCCCCAGCTTGTCTACATTGGGATGATATATTTTGGTCATGAAGCGTACTTTAGGCGCTGCCATGGGATATTCCTCTGGTAAAAAGAGCTCGAGTTTAAATGTGCCCCCCTCGAAAGGAGAGTCCTGGGGTCCGGCAATGACCACGTGAAAGTAGCGGGCGTTGCATTCATCTGGCTCTGCCTTGATGCCTGGGACGGGCTCTGCAATCAAACGTTGAGTTTCCTGCCACAGAAAAAGACAGAGAAATGTATTCACTTTGAATCTGGGTTGAAGTGGCAGGAGATGGGCTGCTTGGCTTGCATCCTCTAACACAGAAAGGAGGGTGGCTTTGACCGCAGTAGTGGCTTGATGCTGTCATTCTGAAGACTCTCTCACTTCTGTCTTTTAGAGGTGACGCTGACTCTGCACCACATCAGTCACTGCAGCAAGGCCTCTATTAATTCATAGTGGCAGCCAAGGGACCTACAGAAACATATTATATACTATGAAAGAGTCTAAAATCAGAGTAGTATCCTCTTGTGTCTATCTGAAACGCAGGCTTGAGTTATAGATGCAATATGCCGGACAACAAAAGGAACAATAAATAAATAGCATGCATGGATGAATAATAGCATCAAATACAGCTTGCCAAGAGCCAGCACTTGTTTTTGTCGTTCTTTTCTTGAATGAAACCGAGAGGGAGATTCCTGAAATGTTTCAGATAACCCATAGACAAAACCATGCAGTGAAAACACAGACTGGGAGGGGGCTCCCAGTGCCAGTCACACGCTCTGAAGGCTCAAGGGCTCCATGCGCTACGTACTGTTCCCACCAACGCTAGTCTGTGGTCTGCTTACTCAAGCACCTGTGCCACCTTCTCCTGAACACCATTCCTGTTCCTGATGCTTTTATTATTGAAACCTTTACAAATCGTAAGCTGTAATTCCAAAGAATATGGTTAATACGACATATAATAATACACAGAATGCATGACTGTTATTTGCAAAATTACAGCGAGGGTACTGTACGGTTCCCAAAAGAAAAAGGAAAGAAAGAGTATGAGGCTCGTCTGTTAAAACAGTATTAAAAAATAACTAAGAATCAAGTAGGTAGTGGGTTCACAAAAAGAAGACTGGTGAAGTCTTCTACCGAAAATTATAAATTACATGAATGTGGAATTGTGGCTGCTGGTGAGAGGGTGGAAACACATCACCCTGGTCTCTGGGAACGTAAAGTAGACATAGTATGCTCATTTCAGGGTTCATACTTGTATTTGGGGTTTTTACTAGACCATCTTTAAATGCTTTGATCTTGATACTGTGATATCACAAACGTACTGTAATCTTGACGCTCATTTAAAGGCATAGTTTCTGAAAATGGGCTGAGTAATTCTCCATGGATAGAGCGTTTCGATACTTTCATAGTATTTATACAACACGTGGCCCTGCTTTATTATAATAAAAAGACATGAAAATCTCACTTTTTACAAGATTATGCCTTTAAAATGTCCAGTGATTAGGATCTAATTCACTGGCAGACATGGGATATAATATTCATACCAATCACCTGAAACTATAAATGGTTGTGTTTCCGTTACATTAGAATGAGCCATTCATATTTACATAGAGGGTCCGCTTCACGGTGTCCGCCATGTTTCTACAGAAGCCCATAACAGACAAACCAAACACTGGCTCTAGAGAGGGCCTTTCGCGTTTTTACATCACCTGAAGGCCACCATAGTTCTCCAACACTCTTGTAAAAAGAGGGGTGAGTGGCAGGATATTTGTTTTACATTTTAGGGGCCAAATGATGAGCAATTTAATTTATATTAAATAGTGAAAACATGAATAGGGATGTGCAGGAAACACAAGACAACTCTTCTTCAAAGGAAGAGACAGCTCCCAGGCAACAGTACTGTGTCATATTGTTGAAGGCAGGGGATGTAACCAATCAGCAGCATCTTTAGTATGCTGAGCAAAGCCTTTTTGGTTACTGATGTTGGCCCATAAAGTCAGGTTAAAATGTCTGCTAATCACAGTAGCAAACGTTTCATCCATACCACTTAACACTAGTTAGGTCACCACATTTATGACTAACGTTAAGGACAAACTTAAGAAACTTCAATGAAACTGTAAGAAAAGACTGCAAGGGGCAAGCATCCTACCTTAGCTAAATACACGTATGCCTAAATGAAAAGTACAACACTAGGAGTATTAGGCTACCAGGCTAGCTTTAGTTTATTCATGCGTTTCCATCACTCAAACACAAACAAAGCTAATAGACTAGCTGGGTTTAGCATAGTTAGCTAGCATTGTTATCTAACCATTTAGCCAGCATCATCACAATCTGATCAGTAGCGGTTTGAGAACACTATTGTGCTTGAAAAGTACATTTAGAAAATATAATCCCGGTACACAGCACATTTATCCGCCATTTCCTCAAAGCGTTGGTGTATTTCTAACCCGCCGTGTCTCTAGGCTCAGATAACGGAAGTTACTTTAGCGAGCTGGACGTGAAGCGGGTACCGTTAACTCGGAGCATTGGGAGTTCAGACGGTGGATGTAGAGTTTTGCCCGTGACAGGAAAGTGGCATATGCTGCTGTTTAAAGTGTGAAATATTACCTTAGAGATCCTGCGGGGCAGTCCTGCCATCTTGTTTTAAATGCGGTGTTTTAGCTCTCAGCCTCCTCTCTGTCGCTAGCATTGACAGCAAACTCACGTCTTCCGGGTTGTCTACGTCATGACAGTGGATGCAGCAGATGATGGAGAAAAAGCTCGTTTTTAAAAAGACAAAGAAACAACACATGCACTAAGTATTGAAGGTAAAAAAAAATGCACTTATATATCATCAACTATTTTGAATGTGATGATAACAGTTTATGTACTATTGTCAAAACATCTTATTTGGGAAATGTCATACTCATAAAGCTTAATTTCCTAATTCAACACCATCTTTTAAGTTGTTTTTAATTGAAATTGAAATTTTGTAACAGATAAGAAATGCATGTCAGCCGCTGACATTTACTCAGAGATTTTGTCTGAAGAAGTCTGTCAGAAGACTTATTTTTTCCATTGTTATAACTGTTATTGTTGTTATTGTTATCATTAATATTAATATTATAACCTTCTAATGTAGCTTATTTTCTTCCTCTGTTATTTGAAATGGTATGGTGGATTATTTGTACATTCTTATAACTCAATAAAAAATGATCTGATAGAGCGAGGCAGCAATTTACCTGATGCATATATTTTACATGTATTAATAGAGGATAGTCATTTACCAACAGATAAGTCAGATTATGCTCTTTGGCCCTGCAACTCCTCATGGTAACTTTGGCCATATTAATTGGAAATTAATTTGTGAAACAGTGAAATACATTTTAAGATGATACATTTAATTTACCTAACAAACTAATTTGTCTATATAAATTCCTATATATTAACAATTTTTCTGAATTCTCTGGATTTTGTGATATTGTCAAACAAACAATACATTGATTTTATGAATTCATTTTGGGGAAACGTTTTTGAACTTACAAGGAACATGTATTTGAAATGCTGTGCAGAAAAAAGATTTTTGGAGATTTAGGAGATTTTATGATGTTGACAGTAGTCAATTAACATCTTCTCATTTTAAATACAAAGCTGTATATACACAGGCGACACAATGACAGACAAAACAATTACAAAGCCTTCAAAACTAGTAATTTACAGTCCCTCGAAAACCTTTTTTAAGTTCATTTTTCTTTTTTTTTAACCAGCCAAACATCGTGTCCAGCTACTCTATCTGTCATAGACATAACAAAGCACGAATTAGACCTTCCACTTCCACTGGCCAATAAGCATACGGTACAGCTGTATTTTCACTTTTTTTTGCTCTGCAGGGTGAACAGGAGCGATAGATTGGAGGGGACTTGGAGCCCCTCCTCCTGACATGTCTGTGGGGACAGAAGCTTTGTCCCTCTGGGTGTCAGGTCTGTTACATGGGCATTATCAGTGTGGCAAACTAAGAGGAACTATATTTAAAAAGCTGTCTAAGAAAACGAAGTCCAGCATGCAATTTCTGCTCCACCATAGTCCAACAGGTGGGTTTGATATTTCTGTCGGTTTCTTTTTTGAGCATGAAGTCTGTGCGTAGAAACAAAAGTGGAAAAAGGAAATGTGTGTATTGATCTGTTTTTTATTTGTCTTAGCAATGGTATAGTCAATTCTATTAGTCTCCGGATACTTTTTGTCATATGATTCTCTGCTCTTGTTCATTGTTTTTAAGCTTTATTTATTGCTACACAAATGTGGATTCAACTCAACGATAATACATTATGTTACACTGTAGATTGTTTAGAAATGTTCAAATCTTATTTTTAAAAGTGTATTGCAACCTGAAGATAACAGTTTCTAATAGCTGTTCTTTTGCCAACTCACGTACTTCCTGACACTGACCTTGGCTTTTCCACCACAGTTTAGAGCTAAATATCTATCATTAGTGTTTTGTAAAATGTATATATTACAGGCAACAGGGGAAACAGCCAGGTGTCAAATCTGAGCCTTTAATTACTGTCTGACACCTTACAGGTGCAAGGTTTCCGCTAATTTTGTTGTGATCATGGAAGCTTCTCAGACTAATCAGAGCTCATTTACAGATTCTGTACATGCATGCAAGCATTGAAATATTCTGGTAATGATTTTGTTTAAGGTAGGTATACCTTCCTATCTGAATCTGAATAGGGCATGCTCACCAATGTATGTGAAGGTAAAATAGCTGGATTTCAGGAATGTAAACAAACAAAGTCCCAAAAAAGTATTCAAAAACTACAATTTTCATACATTTTCAGATAATAGTAATAATAACAACTGATATTCAGCAAATGATCTAAGGGGTTTAGCATTCTGCCCTGTCTGACCCAACCAATCCTCCAAAGTTTTCCATTGTTGAACACACACAGGAACAGACGAACCAGCAGCTAATCTAGACCTTTCTCTCAGTGCACAGAGAGAACAGACAGTATCAGCCACATTACACAGGGGCTGATGCTCACACAGTGCCTGATTTGAGTGGCAAGATCTATCTTGACAGGGCTTAGCAAGACTTTCTTATCAACTTAGAGTATTTCATAGAGAGACATTATGGGTGAAGCTTAGTTTGATACATGTCTCAAACTAAAAGAAATGTACTTTACTGTAATATTGAAAAAATACTGTATTATTTTTGTAATTAACATCCTCTCAGATTTATCTTGTGACCCCTTTATGGATCCTGACCACCAGGTTGACAACTATAAGACTGTGCTTTTATTTTGTACAGCAAAAACATCTAAAATATTTAACTCTGTAATACTTTAAATTACTTATGTTTGTCATCTGTAAATGTCATTTCTTTTGATTTTCTTTTTTAGCTCAATGGAGCACACGGTGCTACCTGGCGTGTGTATTCATCATGATCGCCTGCTGTGGACCAGCTTCACCTCTTCATGCCCCTCCAGTAACAACAGGTGTGCGCTCTGCTTTCTCTGCCACACGAACCAGCAGCGTAGTGGGAGGCAAGCAGAAGGCAGTGACCTTCAACAGGCTCATGGTCAACATTGGAGGGGATTTCAATCCAGACACCGGTCACTTCCGCTGCCGCATCCCTGGGGCTTACTACTTCTCTTTCTCCGTGGGTAAGTTTCCAAAGAAAATGCTTTCTGTGATACTGGTGAAGAATGGAGAGGAGGTGCAGGCTATAGCGTATGACGACTACCGCAAGAAAGGAAGGAAACTTCAAAGCCAAAGTGTAATGATCAGTTTGAAGGAAATGGACACAGTGTGGCTGCTTTTACAGCAGAGTCCCCAATATGCTTTGTACAGCAATGCCGGCCCTTACATCACCTTCTCTGGTTACCTTGTCTTTCCGGACATTTCCCCAAACGGCTACGTCAGCAACCACCTGTCCCCATCAGGGCTGTCCTACACAAACTGCCCCCCTCAGTCTGACCCCTTGGCCAGAAGTCAGACGTCAGAGCAGCCACGGTCTGCATTCTCTGTGGCACGGACCTCCACACTCATGGGTCAGAACATCAGGCAGCAGGACAAGCCACCTCTGACCTTTGATGTGGAGTACGTCAACATCGGGGGCCATTTCAACAAAACCTCAGGCGTGTTCACCTGCCACTTCCCAGGCGCTTACTTCTTCGCCTTCACCGTGGGGAAACATCCTCGTAAGGCTGTTTCTGTGAAGCTGATGACCGGGAAGGGCGAAGTGCAGGCGATGGTGTTTGATGAGGACACATCGAAGAGAAGGGAGATGCAAAGTCAGAGCTTGCTGCTGTCTCTCCGCCGGGGCGACAGTGTGTGGCTGTACAGTCAGCAGGATGAGCGTTATGCTGTCTACAGCAACCAGGGGAGGTACACTACCTTTTCTGGCTTCCTGGTTTATCTTGATGCAGAAACACTCCCACCTGCCACCACTCAGGACAGAACGCACCTCTGAATGTCTTAACCCTTCATAGCACATATAACGTTTCATAACATTGTAGAAAACCTGTAGAATTGTTCTGTATTGATGGTGCAGACAAAAATATACGATGGTCAGCATAGTGTAACTACATTTAATGCTCTGTTTGTTTGCTTTTTGTTTATTTTATCCTCAGTAAATAGTGTAACTCCACGTATATAATATTTGTTGCCAAATTACTCCACTGGATGGTGCTATGATACAATTATGGACACTAACCAGCAACATGGTTATTTTTGTCCTTTAAGTGCAATTAGCTGTAAGAACTAAAAGAAATTCTGTTTGTATAAAAACTTGTCAGTTAAATTGGGGTTTGGTTCATAAATATATTTACCTTTAAAATAATTTGTATTTAGATATTACATGCTAAGAAATATTATGTAAATGATGTATAGTTCATTAAAATCGACTTACTGTAAACATGATATTTAGAAACACATCATTGTGAGTGGTGATAGTCATGTTATGGAATTTTTATATTGTAGATATATATAATGTATCTCTTATGATGTTTTATGTGCATTTCAGGAAACTAAATAAATTCATATGCTTCAATGAATTTAAAAGGTCTTGTTTCTTCTAAATCCAAAGCTAACAGTACATGCTGTTGAGTATAAATTCACTGTCAGTTAAATTGATGTTGTCTGAACTCAAATGCAAAGTTAGCTGTAACTGATGACGTCTTCATTCCTCTAACACAGTTCTCAAAACATGGATCCTAGTAATCCAGGTGTTGCTGCTCCAAATATAGAAGCTTCTGCTAGCTAAAGCATCATTGCTACTACAACTACCACAGTTAATAACATCTACAGCAATAATAGCAGTGTATGAAAGAAATATGGATAGAAGTCTGTGTTGGATGTTCTTTAATTATATAAAAATGGCTAAAACATGCAAAAACACAGTCACGGTATTTGTTCTGATACCCCACTGAAATTAAATATTAGCGATTCAAAAAACGGTTAAATGTGGGCATAAATAACGCACGAGAAGTCATTTTTTGCAGGTCATATAGTGGAAGACAGCATTTCATCAGGAAAACCACTAGACATTCTTAATCTAATATTCAGTCAATTGCTGTTTTAGTAACATCTTTGGTTTAATTTATTGTGATAAAGTTTCAGAAAGATATTATTTTCAGATGTAGCGCACGTTATGTCTGTATGTGAACTCCTAAAGAGGAATATAACAGGCATGAAAATAATCTGAAGAATGTTCCAATGTAAACCTTGTTTATTGAGACAGAAAGGATTTATAACTTTACATTTCTTATGAGCACCATCTTTGCTGTGAATAAGTTTCAGTTTGTACTTGTTGGACTTCAAGATGTTTTACATGATGTAAATAGTAAAAAGAAGTTTCCTCTTTGCACTGAAAACCCTGTCATAACATCTCAACAGTGAGACAACGATGAGTTGGCTGCATCACACAGTAAATACACATGAAGATGTTGGGACTGTGAGTCATACAATAAATGCATGAGCAGAATAAACACAAGCAATAATCTAAACCATTCACTGAATCATAACAAATGCCATCAACAGGTGGTGCAGGGATTTAATTCCACATCCTCACATCAGTCAAAATAAATATGCACTGTAGTTGGGCCATGACTTTGTCTTGCAAGTTGAAATGTTCATGTTTTCATCCCTACGTTACTGCTTTCTCCGCCTCTCCTGGTGTGTCACTGCACATCCCATATCTCACAGAGCAGTGGCGTAAATTTATGGTCGTTCGTTCTCCAGGACGTGAGCATCTCTGCGTGGTAGTGGCTGAGAGTTCTCAGCTCCGTCAGACGGCCCAGGAGACGAGCAAAGTACTGCAGCTCCTGTGGGCGCTGCAGGACACACAGCTTCCTCAGCACGACCAGCATGGACTCCTGAAGCCTCTCGACAGCCTGATGATCCTTGACGTAAGGCCGATCTGGAGAGGATGAAACATTAGCATTTTCGAATACAAAAAAAATCATAGTGTTATTACAAAATACTTTCGGATCATCGAAAAGCCGTTGATGCTGGCTCACCTGGCGTCAGGATGGTTATGGCAGTGAGGATAGCCTGTTCCTCCTGCACCATGTGGAGTTCACCGATGCTTTTGTAAAAGTTGAACATGGGTGTCATGAATTCATCGGGCATACCTGCAGAGAGAAATGTATGTGATTTTCAAAACACATGTATGGTGAAGTGACACAATCAAGCTCCCCTTCAAAACGTTATGATAAGGTAGAGTCAAACACAGACTTTGAATCAGTGATAACACAATAGGCTGTCTTTTAAGCCCTGGTTTAATTACTTACACTTGTTTCAGTACATCTACAGTACTACATTAACAATTCCTTAGTCTGGATCAAAGTGGTTACGACAGAAACAACATAAAAAAGCAGGAGCAAAGTTGTTACATGAACTTTCTTTATAACATTCTCAAATTGTACCTTTCATGATATAAGGTGATCTGTATCTGTATGCAGATGATGTTAATCTGTATATTGCTCATGTGATGAACTAATCTGATGCAAATGTTGTATCACGGGCGGAGCAGGACAGAGATCAGCTAACGCAGTCAAACCAATGCTAAGAACACGTGTAGTTTTATCTGGTAAAATATATGTAGCGAACAATACAGAATGAAGAGCACGAGAGAGTAGAAGGAGCTTGTCTTACATAACAGTCTGCTCTTTGAGCCAGGACATTCAACCAACTGTCCTGCCTAATCTGTAGTATTCTATACTATGATCACGAGGAAAATAAACTCAAGTCTGGACGAAAGGAAAGCAGCAGGTTTAATTCTCCAAGTAAAGTAAGTATTCTGTTATGATTGTTATGACAGGATACATTTCTGGTACACTGATCATTCAAACAGAACTGGAGAACAAGAGAGGAGGAAGACATGTAAGAAAAAGAGGATAAAGAGTGTTTATGAATATACTGTACAATTTATTTATGAACCTCAGTGATATCCAAATTTACACCATTTTTTAAGATAAAAAGAAGAAAAGGAGTGCATTTTAGAGAGATAAAAGTCATTTCAATTGTAAAATCTTAACTGTAAAATGAGGGGTTGGATCAGTGTTGTAATGTACATTATTCCACAAGAATATTACAACTGAAATACTTTGATTGCATTGTGTCTTAACTCAGCTTTGATCATATATATCCTGGCCATACATTTGCACAAATTAAAATACAATAGTTGCAATTCAGTAGAAGGGGGATCCGCCTCATTTATCTCTAAAGTGGGACAAATTTTGGGGAGACTGGGTGCCAAGGTAGATCACCTGTTAGAGTGGGCCCCCATGTACCCAAGTTGAGTCCTTACTGCATTAGCCGGGGTTTCGAATCCGACCCCTGGCAATTTGCTGCATGTCTTCCCCACTCTCTCCCCCCTTTCTGGTCTGTCATGTAAATCCTTAAGTGCAAAATGGCCAAAATATAAATCTATATAAAATATAAACTACTCTGCTTTTTTTCTTTATGTAATGATTCAATAATAAATGCGGATGATCATTACAAACTGCTCTGTAGATCATTTCAAATGTTTGCATCCAGTTTGCTCTTGCACACTGGCAACAGTTCCTACTTCCGATGCTCTTTATTCTAGCAGAGTGTGTGTGTCTGTCTGTTCGGACACATCATCAAGCATTCAGAAATGCCACTGGGGCTCGGAGGGAGAGAAGTGGACAATGGCACTCTTGATGTTTTGATAAGAGACAATGGTCTCTTCAGACAGCTTTGCTCCCTTATTCTCCCAGACTGGCCTTTAGTGTGAATGTCTCTTATCCCCACCATTCACACCAGAGCTGCACCGAGGGACCCAGAGACTCACACACACACACACACTGCTGCCATCACTGTCTGTCTAACTGTCCAAACTGGTTGACATAATGACACCTCGCATACATATAAATGACTCCTTAAACCCACCAAGCTGGTAAACTATTTGATATGGGAGTTATGTGTAAACAGAGACTGCAAAAACAGACTTATATGTGTGTGTTTTAATAAATGTAACCCAGTGCCACTGAAGAACTGGGTTCCCTCGTCCTCACAGTGAAACTGTACCTACTAAGGGTGTGTGTGCATGTGTAACCTACACCCAGCCAGAGATCAACAGGTCAGCACACATCTCCACGCTACATCAGACAGATCAGGCAGATCAATTATTAAAGGATGATCTGACTAAACCTGGCTGCTTGGCTGCAGGTGGAACTACAAATGTCACGATGCTGCATGTGCAGCCTGCTGGTAGAGCAAAGCACGAAAGAGTCTTGAAGGTTATCAATTCAGAGCAAAGGTATTCTAGTTAAGACTATTTTGAAAAATGAAAGTGTAGAAGGAATTTCTTTTGAAACCACAAGGGTTTGTGGGGTTGCACCATTTACATTTTTGATGGGGCTGTTCAATCCAAAAGTACAGTATGTTGTACCAGAGAGTGCCTTATATTTCCACTTCAGTTGACTCACCACTCTTGCGTATCCTCTCCTCCAAAACGTCTGTGTGTCCGTTGGGCATCTTTCTACTGAAAACCTGAGCTGAGCGTAGAAACATGGCCTCTACGGCCGAACCCTTCAGCAGAGCGATCTGATCCTCACGATCCAGAGAGAGAAAGCCTGCCACAAAACACTCATTACATCCAGCAAAGAATGATACTATCAGTGTGGTATGTCATCATCCATAGTATATACTATGCAAATCTATATTCTATAATACATGCAAACTAGGGAATAATACCTGGAATATTCTTTGTAAATTCCACCAAAACTTGAACTTGACTTGTTGCCATTTCTGTCAATAGAAGGAAGTTTTCCTCTGGGCTGTAATGCTCTTGCAGCTGGAGGGACAAAACAGGAGTAAACAGAAGTGAAAAATATCAGATCAACAGAGAGAAGACCCACCAAGCTGCATAAACTCCACCGGCAGCAAACTACCTTGTTTAATAGGTATAGAAGCATCAGAGGTAGCATGTCATGTGAACTTCAGTATATCTGAAATGTAGATGTCAGCCAAATTGTCCGAGTGTGGCGTCCTTCTGTACTGGCTTTGTGTATTTGAGCTGCACTCTCTGATGCTAACTTCTGGAACTCCTCTATTGGATCCTTAAATGTCACTGGTTAAAGTAGTTAAAGAAAAGTAAAGTTTAATATATTGAGGATATACCAGTTTTTTGGCTACGTCTTGAGGAATTTGATGTCTGTTGTAAGCATCTACGATGGCTGTCATGAGAGCCCGCTGCTCTTTGGTGATTTCAACTTTTTCCTGAAGAGAAAACAGAACACATCATTAACTGGTGAGTGACATTTGATCTCTTACAGTTTAAGTGACAGACTCACAGAATCTTTGAGAAATAAATGAGGGAAATTTCCACGACACGGCTGAAGATGTGATTACCCTTGACAGTTTGGTGGTTGAGGAAACCTGTTTGTTGTCTGTGTGGTCCGCCCCCTCTGTCTCGTCTCCGGTCGACTGTCCCGGGGAGGCCTTGGTGTTCTTCCGCAGCCTTTTAGACTTACACTGGATCTCTGTCAGCAGGCCTGCCAGTGGTGATGAAGGCTTCACTATGTGTGTTAAATACCTCACAGCTATTCAACAGCATTGATAAATGTTTATTTACATCTATTATGAGCCCATAATGGCATTAGTTAGTACCAATACTGCATAATGAAGCGAGAATCTTAACTTCAATTTTAACATCATTGCTGTTGCAACCTACGTTTCTATTTGAGTTTGTAAGTTCAATCAGAAAAGAATTTCTCTCAAGACTTGAAGGGAAAGTGAGTGAGTACAAAATCAGTTTCTCCAGTAAATTAACATCTGTCTTTTTTAATTTAACATGTTTAATTTACCTCAAAAATTTGTCTTGAAAAGCTCTTATCCCTCCAACAGGTAGAGTCATGAATGTCTGCTACCCTGCAATATTCATCACAACTTGCCTGCAGTATTTATGAGCAACCATCCTCTGGCTGTTTTCAACCGACAGCTCTTAATAGACCCAATAATTAATCATCAATACTCTGAAAGTACATGTTCATATATGCAAGTTCCATCTTCACATTAAGGTATGCTCAGCCTGTGTAAATACAGAAGACTAGATTCCCAAATAGAAAGGGGTTTTCCATAGAAAATTTCTTGCTTTGTAGGTGTCAATTTCTCTAAATTGATCTTAATGTGTCTGTTTAACTGCTTCTATTCCTGTAACGGTAACAAAGGCTGGACTTTTCTGTCGTGTGATTATGTTACACCCGATCCTCCAGTTAAATTCAACAGGCCATGTCAGAATGGAAAATGAGGGCTCGCCACAGCAACCTTTGACAGCCTGTCTTGACTCGACTAAATAGACAGTACGCTGTGTGCATTTGGAGGGTGCAAATCAGTTTGACTTGATGGTTGATAGTAAACAGAAATGTGTCTACAATTCTTAAATTTCCCATCCCATCAATTGTTTCTGCATCCTGTCTGCATCAACGTTAACCAGTGATACTCACATTCAGCCAGCATGCCCATCTCCTTGCACTTTCTTAGCCGACACTCCTGGCATTTCCTGCGCATGTACATGTCCATTTCACAGTTTCCGCCACTCTTGCATTTGTACACAGCGTTCTTGGTTATGCTTCTTCTGAAGAAACCTGATTGATAAAACAAGTTGTTAGTGTGAGCCAGGCACAGAAGATGCAGATACAAAGCCATTTTGTACATTATGGACTACTGACGGTGTTTTCTGTTGGGCCACACTAAAGTACATTCACATAAGTACTCTTTTTGAGTTAATTCACGATGTGATTTCCATGTAATACTACTTTATACCTCTGCTCCAATACATTTCAGATTAATCTTTTAATTTATGTTTCTAACTACATTTAATGCCAGTTGTAGTTGCTAGATATTTGCATTTATTTTATAGACATGATGCAATCCAAATGTTCTCCATCTCAACCAACAGCAACAGTAAATGGCTTCTTACTCAAAAAATGTATAAGGTATAATAAAACAATGCTAAATATATATTGTAATACAACTCTTTGAAAGAGCCCATTCTGCATGTCGAGTGCTCGTGATTTTGATACTTAAAGCAGCAGTGTGTAGGATTTAGGGGTATTTATTGGCAGAAATGGAATATAATTTTCATAACTAAGTTTTCATTAATGTATAATTTTTCACATACACGTTGTCATTTAAGTCATTGTTAATAGGAAAATATTAACTAAACTGTAGCTGCTTTTAGAACATTTAGTAGATAACCTGAGTACTGTTTTGAATTTGAGGATTTATTTTCATTGTGGTAGGCTACATCTATTTTTTACATAATACCTAAAGAGTTTGATCTCCTCTCTTTGCTCTGTATGTATTTTATGCATATTTCGGCTTAACTAATAGGAAGGATCATTGAAAATGTGATATAAATAATATTTGTAGGTTACACACTGTTCTAATAATGTCACAGAGAGAATCCTGTGAACATGGCTGGCAATGTCCCAAACAGGCACACACACACACACACACACACACACACACACACACACAGAATAACTTTGGAACAGTTATTAGCCATTCTGACATGGGACATTAAGCTGAATGACATGCACTAGCGTAACTGAGCTCAGGTTGCTCCTGCATTGTACAACAGAAAGCTGAGAGGGAACCCAATCTGGCAGCAGTACCGGGTAGACCTGAGCCTATTCTCTGAGCCGCTGCACTCCTGGCATTGTCCTACCTCATAGTGTGGAATTACACTCATATCCATTCATCCAGTGGTTTGGCTGGAATCACAGAAAATTCACGGGGAAACAAGGGGAGCTTGAGGCCTCGACCCCAATGTCTCAATGACATTTTACATGGAGAAGGGTTGTATAGTTACTGTAATATTTTCTCACACATTCTTTGCTCATATTGAATCAGCCTTGATCTTTTCTTCAGCTCAAGAAGTCGGAGCTGACCTTGAGGTACTGTATGATTGCATGGATTTACTGCCTTTCCCTTGCATGTAACCAACATTATAAACAGTGTACAGCAGTAGTAATAGTTGTAAAGTGTGGTTGAACAGCCCTTAATCTCATTTTATCAACAGAACACAAACCGTAAATTAGATGCAGCACTAAAGCGTATTACTGACAGTCTGTCTGTTAGGCCTAATAAGCACAAACCACACTACCAAGGCTCTATTAAATACAAATGCTCATGTGTCAATAACTCTTCACCAGCTACTGTTTGGTCTGTAGATATGATCAACCATGTAATGGTATGTCATGGCCCCCAAAGGCAACAGCTAAAGACAATACAAAAACATAATTTTTGCTATATGGGACAATGTCATTCTACACAACCGCATCCTTCGTATGTGCCTGGACATGTACTTTAAACAGTACAAACCCAGACACTCAGACTTAACATGTTGCAAGCAAATGCAGGGAAATCTGCTTGAACAGAGGAGATTTATAAAATCACTGTTTGTTTGTCAATAACTGGCTAAAATCCAGCGAACTTGTGTCACTACTTCCTCACCTTTACATCCCTCACAGGTGAGAGCATTATAGTGGTATCCAGATGCCTTGTCTCCACACACCACACACAGTTCCTCCCCTTTGACCCTTCCAGCCTGCGACATGTGCCGGGTCCTCTTGCACATGGCGGGCACCGCAGTGGACACCTCCTCCATCTCAGCATCGTAGCCGACCTCCAGGGGTTCTTTCCTCAGTTCATATATCCCCGTGTGTGAGAACCATTCGTCTCCATGGTACTGTGGGTAGTAGTTCTGACTGGAGTAGTATGGTGTGGAAGACATGGTCGGCTCCATGGACGAATACTGCATGCTGGGATAGCCTGTGAAGGGTAAGATGTCGGGATCCTGCAGGAGAGGACTGCCTTGATCTGCCAGGATATCTAAGAGAAATAGGAGAGGGATTATAAAACTGCTTATAAACTGCATGTACAGAATCTTTAACTCAAGGTCCATTTACTTGTATTTTTCTTAGATTCTTGCTGCGTCTCGTGGACTCTTTTAGTGAATGGAGATAGCTCAGTTGTCATAACATGGCGTAAATATCGAACCAAATATCAACAGCTGAAGACATCTCCATTTCAGTTGAGAAAACTCCGACGAAAATTATGACATAAGGTTGAAAGCTTTGTAAATGCTTGCAAATGGACCTTGACTTAAGATATATACCCATTTAAAAGTCAAGAATACACTTTCACACATTGGACTAAGCTACACTGTCACAAAGCAGTCAAATCCCAAAGGAAGGTTGTTTGGAATAATGTCAAGTCAGTTTTTAGATCCCAAAATAAAGACAAGTTTGTTTCAGTGTAACAAGTTGCAAACACAACATTCATAGTGACATATACTCACCTTAAGATTGTGATGTCTGGCCACCGGAAGAATGTAAGTCAAATATTCACAATATTTTAGCCGTTTTTGGTTTGGTCTTCACTGACTCCTGAGGGAACTATCTAGTGCTAACTGCTAAATACTCCACTTGCACCAGCTAGTTGCTAACTTTGTCTGCCGTTTGGTGCAGGGCAGGTATTTCACAGTGGGTTATCATAGCTTTTTTGCTGAAAACAGCAGCCTGCTACATCTGGGACGGACGCAAATAAGAGTGATGAGAGTGAGACCAGAAATTCAAAACAATGAGCTGAAAGATGATAAAACACTCCATAGAACTGTGGGGTGCAGAGCCTGATGATAATTGTCTGTGGGATCATCACTACCAGAGACTCCTTTCACATTACAGGTAGTGACTTGACCCATCGTTAGTATGAAATATTGATTAGTGCAGCTTTAATAATTTGGACTGGTTCCTTGAATAACAATGATGAAGCTCAAGTGTCAGACGCAGTCAAATAGCTTCAAAGGAAATCCATTTTCATTAATGTCAAGTCGAGTTACTTTTATTTTTACACCCAGAAATAATGTATGTTGTCTCAGGGGCTTTACATTCTGCAATATGATACCTTCTATAATAAAAGCCTCTCATAAACTCCACAAGATTATTTATTATTTCAAGTGCTTACCTGCAGAAGAATAGGCAGTGGCTCAGCGGTAGCCGGTAACCCTCACAACAGATATTATAAACCCATAAATGATTAACAACTCGCTTTCACAGAGCACACTGTGTCTTTCAGAATGACTTGTAACCTCCACTCCAAACAAGTTGGCACTTTTTAAACAGATAAAAGGATAGTTAGCATGGTTACAGTGCTGTATCATGACTACTGGTTTTGAGAACAAGTGTTGCATATGCACAACATAATATTCCCTTTTAAAACAGGAGTTGGTGTAGTCGAAAAGATAGTCCCTCAAATCAAATCTGTCATTAAAGCAAACATGACACACCAACACGAATGCAACAGCTGTAAAGTATATGTACACGCTGACCTCTTGAAGACTTGTTCTGGACCATGGCCATCTGCCAAACACACAAACTATTCAGAGACTTTACTCCCCGCTCCCAACAGTCCAGCTGTGTTTCGTAGATCGGTCCTTCCTGTGCCTCTAACTAACAAACTATCGTCCATTTATTTCTTTTGTTGGGAAACTTTCCTTTAAAGATGTGAGAACCGCAGCTCAAGTACTGAACTCCTTGGCGCTTGCTTGAGAAATCCCAAGGGGAGCAAAGGTGGCCACGGCTACTCATTAACCACACGGTTACATTTCTTTACACCTACAAGTAGCTGGCTAATGTGTGAAGTCATTTCCAGATCTGGACAATGGTCCCAGCTGACTGCCACTGTATGGTGAGATGGATGTGAGCTGGTTCATGCAGCTATAAGAAGAAATGTGCATCCATACATTTTTTGCAGGTGTTGGGTGATTATTTTCTGCATGCACTCAGTTGAGTTTACATTTGTACTACTACCACTGTCACCCACAAGAGACGGCAGATGGACATTTCAGTTATTTTTCGCTTTCTTTGTCACTTTTCTTCTTGCTTGCTAACTAGTTTTCACTCACTCTCAAGTGCCGCACGTGGTGTTATGGTGGTGCAACTCACTCGGACAGGTTAGAGGTGTGTCTTGTGCAGTCAGCCTATAATAGCAGGTAGTTGATTGGTTGTTGCGACAGTAAATTTACAGATCAGCCTCACACCATACTAGTTGTAATCCTATCTACAACTCTCTAAATTACCTTTTACTGTGTTAGTTTTCTTCTTTCTTTCCCTTTTGTGATAACAGTTTGGGTATATTGTCCTTTTGTGTATCTTATTATTGTAATTAGCTAAATGCCAGTTGATGTGTGACATGTCATCATAGCTCACCTATGTATGTATACAGGAGTGCTCACACTTTCATCTTTACCTGAGGAAGATCATTTGTAGTGGAAATGTTGTCATGTCTACGTAGAATAAATTAATCGGGAACGAGACAGCTTTGCGCCTTTGACTTTCATCTAGCACCAGCAGGTCAACATTTCAATTTGTTCACTAGATTGGTTTAGGAGCAAATACGTACCTGCAAACATAAACTTAATTAAGATAGAGAACATGGTAAACATTTTGCCTGCTAAACATCCAACTCAGTCTCACGGCAGTTTGTGAAATATTCACAAAATGTAATCTATTGATTCGTGAACATGGACAAGAATTTTCCTTTTTTTTTGTGTCGCTCAGCACAACTTTCAAACTAATGTATTTCAATTGGTTATTTTTTCTCAGTCGGGATGACATTACGCATTAAAATGAATGTTAGTTTAGGCCACAAAATCCCTTAGTTAGGTTTAGGAAAACATCATGGCTGGGCTTAAAATAAGTGCGTAAACTTAGAGTTCAGCAACAAAATTAACGTTAAGTTTAGACAACAAGGAAAAACATCATTGTTGGGCTTGAAATAAGTATGTCAATTTAGGCTTATAGGCAACAAATCCACTTAGTTAGGTTTAGGAAAAATGCCATGAACGCATCCCTTAGTATCAACACTTTGGGATTCTTTGGGTACACTTTGGGTTGAAAGTCCTGTGTTGTGTTGTTTGACCCATCCACCTCCCCAGCAGCCCACCATAGTCTTTCTCACACACAAGGTCACGTGGATGCATTTTATTTGTGTTCCCACCACAAAAAAGGATGCTAATTGACTTTCCATTGGTATTGTTTTTGTGTTGGTTGGCATGTAATGTATTAAAATGACGTAATGCATTGTTAACAGGTCGTAGCTTTTTCTCGTGTTTCTCGTGTTGTCACTGTGAGAATGTTAGCATACTGATGTTAGCATTTAGCTCAAAGCACCACTGTGTGGCGGTACACTCCAGTCTTTCTGTGAGCTGGCTCCTGCCAAGTTGACTTACCGAACAAGTGGGAGCTCTCTGAGATGGAGAATTCATCGCTGGGTGGGATTTGCAGCAGTCCCACCACATTGATGTCAGGGCCCACCCACTCATTCATTCAGAAGGGTCGTCAGGCACCAACTCAGAAAACTGACTTGGACTGGGTCGTGGTCGTCTTAAGCCTCTGTTTATTCCTGTAACAATCATAACAATAGAATGATTTGTGATCCATTGAGAAGATCTCCTGAACACCCCTATAGGTTTGCAGAATCCTCTAAAACCTGCACCACCATGTAATTAAACATCAGCCTGGCGGTCTCTACATTAACACTCCTGACAGGTCTTCTCTCCCACTCAGGGATGAGATGTTCAGTAGAGCTCTGTCTGCATGGAGGCGGGGGATGAAGGTCAGGCCACAACAAGGCCGCCTGTAAAGCGAGTCTTTTCTTTCTACCTTTCGACATAGCCGTTATTATATTTCCTCTCACATCACATATTCAAGTACACATTCGTTCGGGCTCACTTGACAGGATCTGTCAGAAGATTCATGTTGTCTTTCTTAATGTTACTCTCACTAAACATAATATATACAAGCCTTTCAGTATTAGATAGAGGCTCATTTAACAAAAGGGTAAAATAGCCGGAAGGTGTCTCGTAAATATCAGACATGTTTTTAAACTTGTCCATGGCCTTTCTTTCTGGTGTCAAGACCACACATGGTCACATTTCATAGACTTCATCCGCCACATTTCGTTTTTAATTAACTCAGTGAAATTTCCCCTGAGATCCAAGAGCAACCCACAATAATTCAGAAGCCCCCAATCCACTTTAACAACCCACCCAACATCCAAACATGCCTCACACACAGGGGCACGCAGTGGACTAATAAGGAGTCACCTGCTCACTATTGAACATGATATATGATCAGACTCATTCTCAAAGTTCTTACCTTATCCCGGTCAGTTGATGTTAAATTCCTGCCCGCTAACTTTCCGCTTTTCCAGCCTTTTTTCTGTCATCCACTCCGTGAGCTACAGCTCAATCAATATTTGCTAATGAACATTTAGCTGCTTGTGTCTGGACAGTGAGAGCATGTTTGACCAGTTGAGGTCAGGGAGAAATGGATGGTGGTTATTAATTAAACTGTCCATTCCTGTCCATGTCATCACCCCTCCAAACACACTATCTCTCCCCTCCCCCCCTGCCCTCGCCCAACCCCCCGCCAAAAACACACACACAACAAAAAAAAAATCCATCTCACACCAAGACAAGAGGCTGCCTCATGAATTCTCCAGCAGACCAGAAATCTCCCCCCATGGAACATATATCCAGTTATTAAGAAACAACTGGTGTTAGTGCAGGCAAGCCAAGTAGAAGCGCTGCTATCACTCCAAAAGTTTATATTGTTTATCTTTGAATGCAAACAGAACATCATAGTGTGTCTTCTTTTCACTGCAACTGTTAGACACTGTAAATCATCTGTCACTGTCAACATAAATGGTACACACTGTATACACTGTATATAGACTTATTTACTTGTCCATGCTGTACATAATCATCCAGTCCCTGTACATCCATTTAGTATTTATTTCTTTGCTCTATTTGGATTGTTTACAACTTATAAAGTATTATACTTTTTAGACATTTTATATATTTTAGTCATTGTTGCTATTTACATCTATTTTTTCACACCTTGTGTGAATAACAATCCTTTCTATTTTTGACCTTCATCTGTCAAGCTTTTTTTTCCTTGTCCCTAGCTGTTATTTCTATGTCTGTACATTGAGAGAGATATAAAATATATATAACAACTGAGTCCATTTCCTTGTCTGTGCACACGCGTTGTGAATGTTTTAGTAATAATTTTGCAGAAGCACAGATAGAGGTTTTCATAGAAAACCCCTGAAAGCAGACCGTAGCGATCGTTGCCATCCGACCTTGAACCAATCAAAGTCATTTTATCATGTCAGTCAACACCAGATTTATTTATATTGGCACTTTCATACCTCAGCGTACCTGCCCTCTTGTTTTCTTCTCTCTAAGATGGACACGCACACTGGAAATCAAATTCTTCTTGTCATTATCATTCTTAATTTGTCCCAAAGAAAACAATTGTTTAATCATTGATGGGTTGTTGCTCCATCCAAAGAGGCCCTTCTGAGTCAACAGACAGTCTCTCTGAAATAAACAGAACCTTTGCCGTTGGCTGCCGGCTGTTTGTGGACTATCTGGTCTGTGTTTAAGAGCATGTGGGGAATGAGCTGGCAGCGATGGCCTTGAGAAAAAGGACAGACAAAACGCCACTGATTATGTTAACAAGTTACATGTACAGCAGTCAAAGCGCTCACAAATATTGATGGGGTTGATTTAAACCTATTCCAAATACCTCTCTTAATGTGGTTTGATGAGGACGGGAAAAGATCTGTCTGTTGCCTTTCACTCTGGTGTTTTGTTACTCATTCCAGACATTGTGAGTGACGTAGGCTACACGTGAAATAACAGAAATAACACCCTGGAAAGTGACACAATCGTCCTCGTGTTCTGCAAGGACAGCACAAATTCTATTTTTCATCAACAAATGCACACAAAGCATCAACTTTAAGTGTTAAATATTTGTATACTTGTGTATTTTTCACAATATAAGGACTCCCTCTAACTGTCATCCTTTAAAGCGCCAGTAGTTTTGCAGAGGCCAGTCTGACACTGAAGAGGAATATTCTGTCCAGTAATTATCTTCCGGGGTGAAAATGAAGCAGGCGGATAAAGACAGATAAGACAGAGGATGTTTACCAAAGCGTGATGGGAAACAGAGCAGTCTTTGGAATATTTAAAAATGTCTAAATTGAGCTCTCTAACATAAACAGACAGCATTAAGGACAGTCTATTCTGTCAAGTAGTTACAGAAGATAATAAACATCTACAGGGCACATTGTGTCTTTATGAAGGCTTTATGTTTATGATTTGAATATAAAAACAATGAGCTGGAGTGGTAGAAACAAAGCAGTGATATGGAGACAGAGAAGGCACAAAAGTGTTCTACTTCTTCTCGTCTTTCTTTATTTTAGTCATGGTAGACGCACAGCTAGATGACATTGTTGGTCGGTCAGTCAGCCCACCTCTTTGATCCAGACTGACATATCTCAACAACTATTGGATGCGCTACCATGACATTCATGGTTCCAAGAGGAGGAGGGCATCTGACTTTGGTGAGAAGCAGGTTTGGCATTTGTAGTTGTATGTAGATCTGTATGTATATGTATCTACAGTATGAGGAGCTAAGTCTTGTTTTACACTGTGTGCAATTTGGTTATTAATTATCTCCGCCAGTCAAAAACCTGGGGAAAGATTATGCGTTAAGTCGTTTGTGTGCGTGTGTGTGTGTCTGGGACCGTTACTGTGTGAGTCCATGACTGAGTGAGTGTGCACCTCTGTGTCTGTCCACAGCTGATCTCGCATTCGGCTGAAGCAAACTGCGCAATATATTTGGTGGCGAGTCATGGCTGCATGTTTAAGGACCTCTTGTGGTTGTGTTGACTCACACTCTCTAAAAACACCTTTTATTACCGGTTTTATACCACCTTTATACCACCATTGACTGCCTGCTTACTCCTCACTCACTACTCTTAGCCAACCACAAGCTGCTAATCTGCGCTCAGAGACACAGTTAGGGAAAACAGTTTGCACTGTTATTGTTTTGGACAATGTGTTTGGCTAACCGCTAACATCTATCGAACTACCAGTACACACGGCTGTACCTCACCACCACTCAGTCGCTGCTAAGTGTCTAGACAGCTTGATGAGTTTACCTTTATGTTTTGGCACGATTATATTAAGTTTAATATACGATGTCTTCAAGCCCATTGCTTGCAAAACGTTACATCGCTGCTTGTTTTTGAGTTTGAACAAAGTCTGTTTGACGATGCTTTACAGCACTGGTTGCATTTATTCATCCACACAATACAGCAGTGGTCATTGCAGACACACCTGGCGGAGATCTTTACTCTACTGAGTGCACCTTTGTAGTTATTTTTATAAATTCTTTGAATATACAAAGTAACATGAATGTTAAATATCCGCATACAAGGTAATCAATAATTCAGAACCTTCACAAGATTTTATGTCTCTAAACAATCTTAATACAGAATAGAAATGCATGACATCTCCAGTGTGTTCAAATAAAGTGCAAATCAAATCAATGCTCTCTCAAACAATAAGATACTAATTTACAGTACAAAATCAATTTTCTCTTCTTTAGCAGTAATGATAAACAGCGAGTGTAAATTTCCCATACTCTTTTATGATTAAACATTACAGTACATTTTGTTTAGAAACAAACTGGGTTTCTACAGGTCAAAGATTGACAAATTGCAAAAAAAAGACAAACACCAGGAGAATATATAGAGTTACACTAAATGCATCATGGAGTAACGTCATCACTGAAGTCACCATCCATTACGTCACATTATGAGCCCAGAAGAGCATAAATAATGAAGATGATATAATGCTGGAAGAAGTGCATCACAAACAGATGGGGAACTAAGACCTGCTCAGACAAGGAAAGCGGGCTAAGCGGTTCAAAGTGCAATCATTCAGCAACAGCAAATACATACAAGCAAAAACGAAATAAGGCTCATAACATTAACACTGCTGTCTCTTTTCACGTTGCATAGCTGACACAAAACATTTCAGAAACTGTTCATGTGGTTCTAAGTAAGCTACATAAAGTTCAGTCAATGTTTGCCGACAGACGAAATATGATCAACGCAGTTTGCAGGAAAAGTCGGGTTTGAAAGTTGATGTGTGTTTCTGATGTTCTTTTAACACAACACTAGTTTGTTCACAAATGTTCAAGTCTAAACTACATTTATTATTCAAATCTGTTTTGTTGATATTTTTGTTTTTAAATTTTGCCCCAATGGATTTCTAATAAAAACTATGGTTGATTTTAGCATTTTTGTGTTTCCACATGATTTTTGACATGACAGGACATCACAGTTAAACTGGAGTATTGACCAAAAAGGAAAAACGTCTTGAGGTACATGTGATGCTGCTGCTCCTCGTCACTTTTCCAATGTTTTTTCCATTTCCACAGGTTTGTAATCAAATTTCTCAGCCTCAACCAGACTTGAGTGTTATGGAAGTCCTTTGCCCCACAGGGCATCTCACTGGTACTGGTCCTGGTGGTCGCCATTCCCAAAATGTTCCTCCTCCTCTTGCATGGTCACCCCTCTCTTCTTTTTCCAGCCCTGTTTTCCACCAGATAAATTGTCTGTGGTTCCGTAACTCTTTTTGGGAGCCACGGTGTTCTCCATGTTGAGCTCTGATTCTTCAGCCAGCTCGTCCTCATCAATAATGCCACATTTATCCTCACTGGTGCTTTCAGGTTCGGCCCAGTCCTGCTGTTCTCCAGAAGCAAAGATAGCGTAGAAAATGACCCCTGAGTAATGGACCATGGACGCAATAACAAAGACATTTTGCCACTCCAGACGAGTCTGTGGGGAGAGGAATAGAGTGAATCAATTTCCTGTCTGAAGTAATGCTGTAAATCCACTGCTTTACTCATGGCACTGCACCGGAAAAACTATCAAATACAACGTGTATAATACATTTTATGGTGCTATAAATTATTAACACCAGCCATTGATAGGTGCAAGATTACATACAGCGATTCTGTGTTTGACTAAGAAGAAAACCTGATATGTTTTATACATGCCATGAGGGAAAGCCACAGTAAAGGACACTGAGTTTCCTGTTATGTTTTATAGACTCCTAATTAAGAATAAAATAATTTCATCAGAATAAGAGTGTGAAGGACTGAAGGTAAAGACAAGATAACTGGAAAATATCTGAGATGTGGAACAGACTAGCCTTCTGGAAGGTACGTTTTAAAGCTGAGGGTTCTAACCATGACGAACACTTTTTAAAAAAGACTTCTATTGTGCAGCTTGTGAAAAAGCACCGACTGTGGAGCCAGATCTGGGTTTCCAAATATTGCATTGTTTGAAGTAAACAATATAAACTGTAGGCTTAAGACATTTAGTAAGCTTTCTACTACATGTACTAACTGATTTAAAAAAAAAAAATGTTTATCTTTGTCCTTTTTAGGGTTGTCATAGCCACCGCTGTTTGTATGCTGCGCTGCTATCTGTGCTGTCATTTTTTACGACAGGCCGATCGTATCACTTTCACTAGCATCTGTGGCAATGTGGCATTAACATTGTTTTTAGACTGTTGGGTTGTGCGACTGTGTATTGAATAAACCTGATTTTTGTTAAGTAACTGGTGTTAAATAAATTGTCCATTGAGAGTCAACATCCTCGTCTCTGTATTGTTGTTACTCTATCTGTGGGGAACCCATCAACCTGTTAATCTAGTTTTACTGGGGATTCCAACCCCAGAGTTGTCTATCCTTGATGCCCCAGTAGCCTCTTTACTTTGCCCCGGGTACATAATAAACGGTTACTGTTACTTGTTACTTGTTACTGTTACTTGTTATACCTTGTTTTTAGTCAGGGCTCCAACAATCAGAGGACACACCATTCCTGATAGCGTTCCCACCCCGTTAGAAATGCCCATCAGGATGCTGGCATAGCGAGGCGCAATGTCCAAATGATTTACATTAAAACCTGAAGACACGGACCACACAATACATTTGGTTAAGTGGAGAGCGACACAATTACAAAATACATTCTCCCAAAGCGAACATGGCTTAGATGCACTTGAGCGTTTAGAGTTGTTGGTTGCCTTGAAAATAATCGAAAGAAAGAGAACACAAAGTAAAAGGCACAAAAGGAAAAGGCAACATCCTGAGCATTTCTACCAAAACTCCCATGTTTTAGGTTTAGTATATAGCCAAACCAAAAGGCTTGTATCAGGTGAAACATGTTTCTTTGGTGCAGATGTAATACCTGAGATGGCAAATCCACTGAACCCTACAGCCAGAACTAGGAAGGTGATGGCAACCCCTCGAGTGTGAGAAAACCCAACAACCAACAGCAGAGTGGCCTCCATACCAAATCCTGTCAAAATACAGGACCAGAGAATGTGAGTCATTGGCTCATGTAAGAAACATTTTCAAATGTATGCCTGGGATCTGTAATGACTCGATTCATTGTCCTGCACAATACCTGCATCATTCTAACAGGACTTTTTGTATACTCCCATATTTTAAATACATATTAGAAGCTCAAGAGCAATGGCTGATTGTAATATGGAACTATTTTAACGACGATTAACATTTTATCACTACTGATAAACTACTGCTACTGCTGGCTAAAGCAAGAATGGTTTAGAACCATTATTGTGCACAATAACGGTAAAACCAGAGTGTCTCTTAGTTTCCAATATAACTATGACAAATGACAGAACATATTGCTTCTAGTTTACCACGACGTACCTCCACAGTTCATGATTTTTCTCACATTTGTGGTAGACATGATTTTGTTACTGCGTAAGTAGTCAGCCAGCTGTCCTCCAATAGGAACTACTATTGTCATCACCATGTGGGGGACAGCGGACAGGATCCCCACCTGTTGGAACATGATGCATTCAGGAAGCCATCATGTAAATCAGTCCTATGATGTATATTTGCCATTGCTCGTTGAATAGCTATAGTGAAACTGTGAGGCTAACCTTGCTGATGGGGAAGCCAAAGACTTCCTCAAAATACGCCGGCTGGCTGATGAGGAGCAGGTAGAAGGTCCAGCTGCGGCAGAAGTTGGCCACGATGATGGCATAGACGGGCATGGAGGTAAAGAAACGACGCCACGGTGTCTTGAATTTCTGTGATTGGGAAACAGAAGCCAGTGTATGTTGTTTATTGTGTGTGGGTGTGTGTGTGTGTACGTGTGTGTGTGTGTGTGGGCATGAGTTACTCATGTTGTGGGGACGTAAATCTGTTTTACACAGTCGCATTGTGGGGATTCTACTTCTTTTTGGGGATAACATAAATCATTACATTTTAGGGTGGAGACTTGGTTAAAGGTTAAGGTAGGTTAGGTTTTGCTTAAAGTTATGATTAGGTAATTATGGTTCGGGTAATTCTCCAGGAAATTAATGTAAGTCAATGTCCTTTAAAGTGATGGAAACACAACTGTGTGTGTGTGTGTGTGTGTGTGTGTGCGTGTGTGTGTGTGTGTCAGAATTTCAGTGAAATGATGTTAAACTGAATGCACTATGATAACCTGAATCTGGCAGCATATTGGGCAAACACACCTCAGTGACACTCAGTTGGCGCATTGTTTCACCGATGGTGGTCTCGATGTACATCCTCTCCTCGTCTGTGATTGTGGGATGTTCAGCAGGACTTCCATATGCCAGCAGTAGCCACATGACATACCACATGATCCCAAAAACACCTTTTCATGAAATAACAAAAATGATTGCATTACTTTATACATACATACTTAAAGGTGTTTATATTTGTATTGAAGGCTTTGTAAGGGGCGGGATAGACTAATTACAACAAGCCCGAGCTATTCTGGAACACAAGAATTTTCATTAAATGAAATTAAATGAACAAGGTATGAGTCAGAGAGCCCAGACAGGAAAATGCTAATTCACTTCAATAAATCATGAGATTATATCACAACACAACCAGAGTAGATTTTTATTAAAACACATTTGGCAAAGCATGAATTTTATGTCAATGTTAATCATTTTAATCAAACACTAAAGCAATTCAGATAGCGCTTATTGTGCAAAGCATACAAAGTACAACCGCCAGAGCAGTAGGCCATTCAGGGATTACAAAGACACTTTACATGTCACTAAACTGACACCTAGTGTATAAAGTGGCTCAACACCTATGAACATCCTATATGTGTGTATATATATCTATATATATATACATAAACCTCATGTACTCTTATGTTATTTTTGTGCGCTTGCATGGTTCAAGGGAGATTATATATTATATTTGTCCTTATCAAATAAATGACATGTTTCCAGTCTTTATGCTCAGCTTAGCTAATCGGCTGCTGGCTGCAGCTGCATATTTATTGTACAGACATGAAAATGGTATTGATCTTCCCATCACACTTTCTGCAATATCTTCGTCTTATCCTTATCTTTACATGAACATATTTTGCTTATTGCTTATTGTTTTGTATATGAGATAGAGTGACTGAAGTGTTTGTTTTGAGTCTTACCATAGATATAGAAGATCGAAGGCCATCCAACGTATTGAACGAGCACTCCAGCTAAAGGCATGGCGATCACTGCTCCTGCGTAGGATCCTGGGAACAATTGGTGTCAAATTTCAGTGTCAAGGTATGATGACACCAGCAGCAACATCGGGACTCAGTGATAAATAACTAAAAATATATCATATATAGCCCAACTTATCTTTTTTTAAATATTACACAACCGAAATAGTTAACTGCCTTCAGTTTTACACAAGAAACTACACCATATAGTGAAAATGTGTCTAAATAAAAACAAACACATCAAAGAAACACATTAGTTGCATTGAATAAATGGCGAGTCGTTGGCACTGCCGAGACAGAGGGCGTGTTTTAATGTGTTTTTCTATTATCAGACGGATTCATGAACACTGTTGTTTTGAATAGAGCAGGGAGCATGAGAGTGCTTTTGGACAGAGAGCAATGTGACGCTTCATGTAGGTGAATGGAGGGAGAAGCTCCCTGTGAGCACGCAGGTGAGCCATGTTCATTTACAGACAATGTCAAGAGGGTTTTGATGTGTGGGTTGTCATGGCACCAGTTTAAAGTGCAATGTGGTTATTTTAATTCGGGAGAGACAGCAGTGGACTAAATCTGCAAAACAAAATGACCTCTCTCATATCCATTTACTGACCAGCCCCACTATGACTGACACGGTTGTGGAAACTGGTTTGGATCAATGAAAAGCTCTGTGTTGTGGTCAGTTTGGGAGTATTTTTGACAAGAGTGAATTAGAGGCATTGCTCACCACAGAATGAAGTTGTGGCCAGTCGACTCCGCTCAAGAGGTGGCGCCCATTTGGACCACATCCCATGACATGCTGGGTAGGTGACACCCTAGCAGGCACATGGTGTGGAAGATGTCAAAGGTCAAATATTGATCTAAGAGGAAACCTGGGATTTGTCTGTTAATTGTCTAACATTTTGGGAAATACACTTACTTGCTTTCTTGCTGAGAGTTAGATCTGATTTTTGATACAGCTTATCTAACTCTCAACAAAAAATCAAATAAACATATTTCCCCAAGATGTCGAAGTATTGCTTTGTGTATGTGGATCATTTTCACTGGTTAAACCCCCACTGTGTTTTTTCTTACCTCCACTAAGCCCTGCAGGATGCGCACAAACATGACATAACCGTAGTGCACCCTCGCTGCTGATGGGATGAACATGTTGAGCACTGACGTCAGGAAAATGGCAGCCCCAAAAACCCTGTAGAAATACTGCAATGTCATCATATTGTGTGTGTGTGTGTGTGTGTGTGTCTGTGGCTAACGTGAGGAGACGGCAACTTCCATGTACCTGAAGCACTTACAGACATAAAATAATGGGGAAATACAGACACTGTTAAATTCTATACTTTCAATTGATTAATTGCTAATGTAACCAATGGTATTTTAGTCAGTGCACAGCTTGTCATGTGAAATCATCATTTACTTGACTTTAAATGGAACAGTTCTGTCAAGGAATTTCCTATTTTGCCTATAATTAGCACCAAACTGCAAAATTATAGTCCGTGAAAACTACTAATATCTGTCTGTAACAGGTAAAAACACAACAAACACATGCTACCCAGTGTCTAAGAGCTGCTGTAGATGTCTAATATTGTCAGGCAGTATTTCTCTAAATATCTGATGGTCAAAGCATCTCAGTCAGCCTTAAGAGACAGATCTCACGCGTCTGCCTTTCACGCACTGAGATAAAGACATCCCATTCAATCTGCAAGTTTTTGCTTCATCACCACCTTAGCTCCCATATATTTTCTTCTTCACCTGATCCCTCCTTCCTCCTCTTTTTCCAAAACAGTGTGTAAGTGACACTTGTAATATTCCAGTGGCTGGTGTTTCAGAAAGAAATCAGAGGCAGGATCTTTCATTATTAACTCTGTCAGTGGCGTGTCCTCTTTTCCTGTGAAGCTTTTATTACAGGACTGCTATCTGCTCCATCAGCAACGCTCACCACAGCGTACAGCTTTAACCCTTTAACCACGCACGCTCTCCCCCGAACCTTTCTTTTCCTACCTTTTTCTTTCTTTCTTGTGATCCTTTCTTAACATACGTGATCATGGCTGCATTGACCATGAGCTCACCCTCAACTCAAGGAAAAACTTCAAAAAATTAAAATATAATCTGTCTAAGAGCATCCCACATTGAACAGTTTCTCTCTCATGGGCCGCATCATCTCTTGTCTCTGCACTGTTTGGGCTGCAACGAATGACTCTGTTCTCATTGATTAATCCTTTGGTTTTTATTAAATTAAAGAGAAAGGTTAAAAGTGGCTCTCAAAAAACATCATCATCAAATTACTTTTCTTACCAAAAATCTAAAATCTAAATATATTCAATATTCAATGACACAAAACAGAGATTACAGTGTCACAGTGGAACTATTAATAGTCATGAAGTGCATGTCACCTGTTGGCAAACAGCTTGTTGGAGATGAAACCACCAGGGATTTGAGTGACAATGTAGCCCCAGAAGAAGGAGCCGTGGATCAGCCCCACTGTCTCTGGGTCCCAGTTAAACTGAGCTTGCTGGAGAGAGAGAAAGAGAGAGAAACAAACCAACATTTACCACTAAACTGCATTAACTTGGTATAATCTACCTGGCTGCATTACAGATGCATCCCTTAAAGAGTTGATTGAAATGGTTATACTGCAATCTAGTTTTCTTCTGTAAGGCCAGACTATCTTCTGAGCAACAAGAAAATAGACATATTATACAAAGTCCTGCAACGTCAATATCCCAGGGGTCCTGTCTGATTTGATTCAGCTACCTGAAGCACAGGAGTCCCATTGATATAGACAGTGTTGTTGTTCACCATCTCCACAATGGCCACACCAAGGTTGCAACGGATGCCAAAGGAGATGCAGAAGCCCAGGCCGCTGAGGATGGCGATGATGTAGCGCTTGGGCAGACCACCGCAGCTACAGTCCAGCAGGGGGGCAGTACGTGGAGCTGATGCCACCGGACGCCCATCCTCTGTCAGCTCAATGTGGTCCTCTTCTTCTACATTACTACCGTCTATTTTCCTATGACGCAAATAGCAGCAAAAGAAATCACAGTAAGAGCATGTGATCGTCAGCAGTGCTAGTTATCTGTTCAGCTTGAAATACTTTTTATCCATATTCGTCCTTCTTCTTTATTCTTCCATCCACAATATACCAAAGTGTTGGTTTTGGTACCTAGAATCTGATTTTTTTTAAGTAAAAATTGTCTACAAGTCATATAAATATATACAGAATGTATATCATTTTACAGCCCTCCCACTTTTGTCTGTAAGTTTGTAAAAGAAACTGTGGCAACAGAAATAGCACAGTAACCCAAGTCTAGGGGAAGGCAAGACACATGACTAAAAAGGTAACAGCAGTGCTGTTATCAGGTTGCTTTCAGGTGCATCACTCTCCACACCTGTTTCACTACCCAGAATCCATCTCTGTCTCGCTGTCTCCCCGATCCCATGAACTGCTTTCATCTGCCTGCAGCAGATCTCTACTGCAGTTCTCTTCCAGCAAGACACAAATTAACCAGAAACTGGGATCCGCTTATGATATCAAGCACTCAAATTTTCCCTCATTTCTTTACAGTTGGAACACCTGGTTTGTCCTATTATATTATGTATTACAAAATAATACACTGCTATGGAAAACAGCATATTTTATATTTATGTTTTTGTTGTAAAGTAAAAGTTAATAGTCTAATAGCAGACTCATTGTGGACATGTCATGTCATGAAAGAATAGTTGATACGGTTGGAATTCTGAACTGCATTAAGATACAAAAGCCACATTTCAAGTCCTTTTTACTGTTAATGTAATGCAACCAGTCTCAAATGTATAAGTTGCAAGATGACAACAAAGAAACAACAATAAATAACAAAGCATGGCTAAGAGTTCATGTCTGGTCACTAATTCCATAGATAAAATGTGGCAAAACATTTCCACGAACTCAAAGTAACTTTCCAAGTCCTGAATTGTGCAGCCCTCTATGGTGATTCTCAAGGATTTTGTTGAACTGTCTTTTTTAAAGAAAGGTGCACATCAAATGAATATGTTTGGTGTAGCAGGACGACATAATCAAAAACGAATTAACATATTGTTGGGAAAACTTAAATAATGTTTTTGTTTAGCCACTGTAATCTAAGCAGCTGGTTCCATAAAGTCTGTGTTCGTGTATGAACCAATCTCCACACAAGCTTTCTCAGCCGTGTTCTTCATTAAGTGTCTTAGTTGTCTTTCTTAATGGCTATCTCATCTGTTTGTTTACTTATGACCGGGCGTCAAGGGAAGATAGTAAATCTGTTGTGATCCAAAGTGATGTTCCAGACGTTATGCAAATTACTCTGTGCGAGCGCGCTTGCCTGTTATCTTCAGTATATGTATATATCAGAGACTCAGAGACAGACCTCTGTGCAGCCTTGATGCATATTCTGTATGTGAATCAACTCTGTCTCCTTCTTGCAAGAATAAATGTCCTGTTTAATGATTTTTACATCGGTCTCCAGTGAATTTTTCTAACACATGTTGATTGACATTAACATTGGATTTGTTCATTCTTCAAAACTGTTATAAAATCCACCTGGAAATGTTATAGCAACAGGTCCTTAAGCCCAAACCTGAGAAAGTGTAGGTTTATTATAGTTAGCTACATCATGACCAAAATGTTATATGTGAACCCCCACGAATATATATCTATATAGATAGATAGATAGAGTATGAATACAAATATCTTAAATTCCCATTTTCCACTTGATTGTAATGTCAGTCAAGGCATTGCTATTATACATGACAAAAATACATGCACATTAACCATACATTTTTCCAGGAAATTGCCTACTTGGCCATAATCTTCTTTACAGAATGGGGGCTCCAACACCCCACACACATCTCACTGTTAAGGATGTATCGGATATGAAATATATATTAAGGTCTTAAAATAAAATCTGTGATTACATCACTGGCATTGCCTGGCGGCAAGCAGAAGAATCAAATATCTATTTATCGTCAGGATCTCTGAGAACACGCTGGGCTTAATGTGTTTGCTTCCAGGCTCTCCACTACAGATGTATCCCTCTTAGTTACAGAGCAATATAAAAAATAAATCTCAACAATAAAACAATAAGAGTGACACGCTCATTCCATGCACTCCAATAACATCTAAAAAACTGTGGAATGTGGATTAAACACCCTGCACACACAGTTTTTATGCCTCCTTCCCACCTATCGCCATACAAACCCTCTCACCTTTGCAGTTTTCCTAGAGAGTCCCCCACTGTGCTTTTCACTTCCTCCTTCCCAGGTTTAAGCACCTGTTCCTTCAAACCTGCTAACCCACCAAAAGGCATTTTTCTCTGTCTTTTTTTTCTTTCCAACGTTATCTGAAAACAGTGTCTTGATACCTCACTAACACACTCTGTGAGTAAAAAATAAATCCACTAGAAGCCGTTCATCATCCTGAGTTTGT